GGGGGAGGGCTTCTCGCGGGGACCCCGGAAATGGCGTTTTTCGTCGACATCGTTTTTTAGCGATGTCGGCGAAAAACGCCATTTTCGGGGTCCTCGCGAGGGTCTCCTCCCCCTGCGTCCCCACAGCTTCTTCCCCTGAGCAACAACACCTTTCTGAATTTTGACCATAACTTCTTTCAGAGTAGAGATATCGGAAAACCGAGAGTACCAATGAATTTCTCACGTGAAAATATACCTGTTCTTTCGACCATAATCCCATTTCCATATACATCATCAACCTTTTTTTTTCCATGAATAGTTCAAGCATAACCCATAAGCGATGAAAAACGCCGTTTTTCTTTGTTTCGCGGCTCCACTCCCTTTGCTGTTTGCGCGTGGTCAAGGTTTCTGGATTTATGTTCGAAGAATGTTATTGTATACTAAGCCTAAGCCTAAGCCAACGCCTAAAAACAGTTTTTTTCCAGCCGTAATATTTAGGCTAAGTTTGTGAACTATATCGAGAGATAGTTACGTATTCCAGGCAGAAAGAGAAAGAAAAAGAGAAGTCGGCATCATCGTTACTATTATCATCTCTTGACCGTGTTAAGCTCTCCAGATTCGCATACATACAGTTTCTTGTTCATCTGACAAATCTTTATAGCTTTCAAGGCTTACTCGTTATTGGTCATGTACTGCTCGAGGTGGTTACGTTAATGTATAATCGGAAACTATGAACAGAAGTGTTAAAAAAATTTCAAAAAGCTCTTTTGAAATTTTTTTTTGGAATATCAACTCTCAAAATCTAGTATTCTCCTGATTATGCTCAGCTAAAGCATAGAAAATGATGATAAAGGTACCCTTATAAGCTGCGAATTTCCTGTACAGCTCATGTCAATCGCTTAACTAATTGAATATACGCTAGCTCGCTCTTTCACCAATTTACGTAGTTTCATTAACAATGATTATATTATGAAAGGGGTTAGGGAGTTGAGGAACTGATTTCTCAAATAAAAAACCAGCTCTAATGCATCAAATGAATTTCTTCCTGTAACATCAAGAACGTTCAAAATCTTAGACCTATCTAATAAATGACCAGGATAAAACATAAAATTATCACTTTTCCATCAACTTATGTACAACGCAAGCGAATGATTTTATTTTTTTGTAATATTTAGTTTCAATAATCTGCGAAACAAGATGATTGAATGCTCATAATTTCTTTTGTATGCAAACCATTAAGCAGGTCACCAACAGCTTCATCGAGTTTAGAAAAGCGCATCCGCTGAAAAAAAAGAAAGTTTATCAATAGGTGTTTAGAAAACACACGGAAACATTCGAGCAGCTGTAATCATTTTCGTCTGATTGGTTTTCGCTCTTCAAATAGTTTCCTTTCTCTTTTTCTTCTGTATTGAGATCTACAGTTGACAACGAATGTAGAAATCCAACTTGAACCCAAGTGTTTTTTCTCAACTCGCATTCAAGCGGTAGTCCTATATCGTCCTTCAAAAATTTCATTTAAAACATATTTCAATAGAATGCTAACCCAGCAAGCTCCTCGACCTTCCATAACATCGGCAGTTAACATATCTTCAGCTGTCACGTTTACGTTCGTATAGAGCATGATATGTTTGTCTTGATACTCATGAACTTAATGGAACCCTTTTGTTTTGTTTTTTTGATTAAGGCTTACCCATAACTGTTCTAAAACCTATTATTCTGCAGGAAGTAATAGCGAGATTATCAAAATCAAGTTTCTTCCACGAAGAAAACATTAAAGATGGTTCAATCGGTAGTCTGCCAACCCGGGGAGGAATAGGTGCTTGCGGACACAACTATAAATTCAGAATAACAATATTCGCTAATGAACTGATCTAACTTCTTGGAATGAACGTTTTTTGATAGAAATTACTGCGGTATTTCCTCTCAGAGCTAATCCAGTCACTTTCCGGTTTGATGTAGTTCCGCCGACTTTTGGAAGAAGAACCACGGCGTTCAAATTTCTTCAAATTTCAAACGATTCTAACATTATAGGCTACAGTTAAACTCTTCTCTGACTCCATCAAAGCATCTGGAAGAGGTGAGAACAAGAGATTGAGATATCATTGTTCCTGTGCAAGCGATAGTATTATTAATGGATAATTGTGCGATAATCTTAAAGTTGAGAAAGCGTTTTTGAAAATGAAACAGTCTCTAACCTTTACTACATAAGCATGTCGTGCCCATTGCAGCTCATCACCATCATTCATACATTCGGCAAGTCCAACAAGCGCAAAGAGAACAACTAAGAAGCGGGATGCCTTCATACTCGCAAAAGTGAAGAATGGTAGGGAAAGATTGGAGTTAACTGAGAAGAGGAGGAAGATATTTTAAATGCGTGGGTTTATCGTGCAATGTTTTGAGAAAAATGATGTTAATATGAATGGTGTGAATATTACCCGATGAAACTTTATTTTGATTAGATTACAATTCAGCCATCATCAGAAAGTACAAAATTCAAAGCATTTCCTGGACATTGTTTCAGTAATAATAATAATGAGAGATGCAAGCTTCATATGATTAATATATCATCAACTCATTTTTCTCGATGAATATTTCCATCACAGTTGAACCAAAACTTGGCAATTAATCGAGGGTATCCTTCGACAACTTTCATTTCCCTATGTATTTCAATATTTCATTCTGATCAGAAGAACAAACCTGTAACCATTCAATTTCCAGTAGTATTCTCCACTGAATAGAAAAGTTGATTGGTGATCCAGTTGAAAAGCAGCGTCTATTCTTGATGGGGCCTGTGGAACTAAACATGAAACGACCATGAGTTTGATTTACCTTCGTATGAAATATGGTCGAAATAGATCTTGGCCAAGTTCCGGGCATCCCGTACCTAGAATATTTCCAGTACTTATTCCCTGAATATTAAACAATCAAAACGCTGTTTCAGTGCAACTTACTCTTCACAAAATAGGGCTGGTTGTCATAATGCCATATGAACGCAGCATCTATTTTATTGGGCATATCTTGTAAGCCTTTCCCGATGAGCTTAGGATAGCCCTTCAGTATGAGCCCTGTCGGAGTCAAGACGTAATAAAGGTTTTCCTGGGATTATATAGTTGAGTATCAAATAAAAACGTTTAATACCTTGAATATGTATGTGATGCCTGCATTGTTAGTAACTATCGCGTCAATCGGTCCACTGATAGACCAAAAATCTTTTATGAGTTTAGGATGAGCGTGCTTTACACCATCTCTAAGCGACAATTCCCAGAAATATTGCCCTGTAAGAGACTGTGAACACCCAGAATACTCAATATGCAACCTTGGAATACAAACAATGTTCCATTGGAAACTTTTGTAATCCCATCGATGCGATTGACTTTACAAATATTTGGCAGAGTTTTTAAAATTACTTTATCTTTGCTGACAGCTTCTGGCATTCCATACAACATGTTTGTTGCTAACACATCATCTATATTTTGCAATTTATAACCTATATACACATAGTGGTAACCTTGATGTAGATGAAGTTTTTCGCCGACGTATGTCTGATAGTATGGAGCCATTATGGCTTTCGGTTCGTGAGTGTGTTTCAACCCCAGTGCATGACCGATTTCATGAACAGCTACAGCATACAAATCGACGCCCGGTCCTTTATTTCCAATTGAAATAATGTGATGTTATGAAAATTAACCTAATTTATCTACACTCCAAAGCTCGTCATCATCGAAATGTAAGCTCCCACCATAACGAGGAAAATATGCATGTGCCAATACTTTTCCTGAGCATTCTGTTGTTTGATTACTAAAAAAATAAATTTTTCACCTGGACCATCAAACGGCTCTCCATCACCGTGAGATAGTTTTGCAAATATTATGTCTATATGAACTTTTCCATTTTCTTCATAGTGGAACTTCAGTTTTGTGTGCTCTTCCCAAGTCTTGTGAATAATCAAAAGACAATTGAAAAATCTTACATTTTTCTCTCACCTTGAAAGCTTTGTCAAAAACTAGTTTTTGATCGGTAAGACACAAACTTGTAGAAGGTTGACTTATGCGATAAGTTATAGTTTCGACTCCCCAAAAAGATCCTAAAAATATTGAATAAGAGAGTTTCCTGCTGAAAGTAAACCTTCTATGGCATACCGCCGGATGCGTAGATTTCGTTGCAGTAAAGTATAGTTAGTCAGAGTTTTGACCTGTAGAGGATTCGTTTTCAGTGGTACCAAACTTTTCCTACCTTTCTCGATATGCAGAAAAAAAGTATTATCTGAATGTAGCCGGAGACAACCAGCATATTGAAAAGAAAATGAAGAAGAAAGTCTCTTTTGGTATCCTCTTTATTGTGTTCAAAATCAAAACGTTATTCACTAACGTGAAGTGCGTTCATACAAGAATATATTTGACATTATTTCTTTCAACTGAATAAGAATTATAGCAAAGGAAAATGGTTCAAGATTTAATGAAGAAAGTATAAAAAGCATAAAACTGGAGAGAATCACAGCGAGCAGATGGTCCGATTGTACCCTTTATAATTGTAGTCAAATCAAAATATAAATAAATAATTGAAATGGCCCATAGTTTTAAATGTCATCTGCCTTGTGCATTTGTACTGAGAAACTAATTAAAAGCGCAAGAAATTCGGCACTTTTCCTTCGTCGAACGCACTTTGATACCACTTAAGTGTTCAATGGAGCTCTGAAAGGAATGTTTCTAACAATACTTCAACACCTTCAGCAACATAATAAGGTTGCCGTAAAGTGTGCCATGTATTATTTCCACATTTGACTGATGTCTTAAGATTAGTTAAGCATAGTGCAAAGGAAGACTAGAAGCAGTTACTGATACTTCCCATCGATTTTACTTCTACGCTTCTTCATCTCCCCCTCTTCATAAAGCTCTTGGTTCTGAATGAATTTTAAAGTTTTTGATTTACTACAAAGAGTTAACGAAGCTTGTTTTCAACTATTGCAAGTTTTTACTTGTGAATGAGATACTTGAAGTAAAAACAAATATATCAATTTGACAGGACTGTCTGTCGTTTTTCTCAAGTTGTGATCATTCTCATAAATATTGAAATTTGATATCCTCCCGATGAAGTTCATATAAAAACTACGTGAAAAAATTTGAGTAGGTTGCTTTTCATCATATAATTAAATATGAAATGTTCCAAATCCACTCTTTTTTTTTCGATACACCTTGTATATGTATCTCATATGAACTTTTTTTCTCAGAAACATGGGTGGGTTGAGTAGCGTTGGTGTTCTATGGGCTATATTATCATCCCTTGCATCCTTCTTCATAAGTTTTCCGAGTTTTATATTCATCTCAGATGTATATTTAGTAGGTGGAGTGTTAACTCCCGAATGGCTGATAGGTCAAATCTCCGCCAAAGATATTACCTTACGCGCATATTTTGGTTCATACAAGCGATGTAACTATCCTGTAATCGACAAAGTAATAAATTATGAAAACATCGAAAAATAATATTTTTCAGAATTCTAACACAATTGCTCTTGCTGCAGCTTGTGGTAGATATGAGTCTTTTGCAGCAATACCGTCTCAGTACTGGCAGTTATCCACATTAAGCTCTGCGCTTGGTAACTATTATATGTATCAACTGACACTGCAGCGTTATTGCTAGGCGCCTCACTTTCTCTTCTGCTATCTCTCCTCCTGATACCTTCAATCTGTTTCAATGATATTGTCAACAAATCAACAGCGTCGGTGCTTGGATTCTTTCAAATTCTTGCAGGTTTCAAACTCTTTCTCATTAAAATCGAATTTTTTCGCGAAGCTGTTTTCATAGCAATTTCTCTGGTTCTCTATCCGCTAGGTTGGAATAATGCTGAAGTGAAAGACGCCTGTGGGGAATACGCCGGCCAGTTCAACTTAGGTTGTTGGTTAAATATGTTCTGTTATATACTGGAAACTCCTTTCAAGGTCATTGTCAATTAGGAAGATCTTTTAAAAGTATGATGCTAGGATCATTCATGCTTGTTATTTGCTCTTTATTATCATTGATTGGCGGAAAAACGCCGACTGCATCTTTGATAACTCAGCACGAAAATTTCATACAGGGATATGACAATACAAGATTGGATTATGCCAAATGATTCTTCATGAATACACTAGTCTAACGGGATATGATGGTTTCTAATCCACTTATGTTCATCATCTTTCCAACACATGGCAAAGTACAGTATTTCAAACTTCCTTTTTATTCTAAAGTAGAGAATGTTTCCCGAAGTTCTAAAGTAATTTTTGTTTGCCTCATCGCTGGTTCGTACGAACTGTGGTAGCTAGAGTGTCTCAGCTTCGCATAAACTTCTTTTTGTGTCTTGACTTTGTTATCATGCGAACAGTTTCGAATTAACACAATTATCTTATTTTTCTTTCTTTCTGTTGCTTCAGCACAAATGTTACAACTTAGTGTTCGCCAATAAAAATAAGCATATGATAAGAATTTCTTTCTTGTTTGGCCTCTTTCTAATTATTTCATTAGTTCCACTTTACCTCATAGCCTTGTTCAACACTTATAAACTTTCCGAACAGTTGTTATCAACTCATTTGTGATCTAGTTTATGAAAGAAAAAACAACTCCTCAGGTAAGTGGTACTTAATTTTTTTTTACGAAACTTCTGTTTGCTTTGCCATTTTTATTCGTGTTTCATTATTTTAAAGGCTGAGAGCCGAAACGTTCATCAGATAAAAATGATGAATTACGAGAGAAACTAGAGTTACTTTGACATTAAGACTGACACTTCCAAGGTTCATTATGCTTCATCTTATATACAAATCTTGAGAAAAACTGTTGAATTTATGCGTCTACCTCAGTGTTATTTTCTATTTATTTGTTCGAACCTTATTCGAGAAGTGATGCAAAGACCAACAGTCGTTCTTTCGAAACTTCCTTTAGAGGCAATTGTTATAAAAATTGAATCAAATTTTGTTTTTAGTACTATTGTTTAAGTAACTACTTTTTTGAATAATGTACATAACGTTCGTACAGACATATATGTAAGTAAATATTCATTCGTTTGTTCGTACCGTTCTTACAATCCAGAATTTCAATCTACTCAAGAAAACGTTCTCAAACATGAATATGAGAAAAAAATACTCGTAAGATACATGTATGAAAACTATTTCAGTAGAAAAAGCTTATCACTTCTATCGAGCAGCTGCTGGCGTTTGTCACACACTAGACTTTTCTTAACATTCCAAAGTTGATCTTTCTGCACATACTTCATCATAAATATGGAAGGTGATTTGAAAATGTTTTAATCTATATTTAGAAGAGAAACTGTCAATAAACAACAATTTGTCCACTGTGGTTTCTTTTTCTTGGTTTATTGGCGATATCCATCTGTTGAACATGCTGAAAAAATAAACAGAATATCCAATCTGCGTCTCTGTCTCTAGCTTCCTCCCCCTAGCTGCCTGCCTCTGCTCTTTTGAAATTTGAATACCCTGCTCATAGAATTAGCCTAAATTATTTGAATAAAGAATGCTTCAAATCAGTATCAACGCTCTTCAACTTCAGAATCTTTGCAAAACGTAATTCTTGATCCAGTTGCTGTACAGGTTCCTCAATTTAACAAAACACTATTCGACAGAAACTCTTCTAAAAACGACGAAGGCTATTCTAGCCCCGTACTAGGGTAAGTCAATCCTATAAGACTATTCTATAGTTTATTTAATCCAAATGCTTAAACTCTGTAACGAATTGTTTGTTCTTTTTTATCTTTGTCCATCTATGCGTTTAAACTAGAAAATAAAAAAAATGTTTTAATGTTTTTAGTGTGTGATCTTATAATTGTTTCATACATTTCCAGTGAATCAAACGTAGGATCGTCTAGCATTCCCAAAGAAGTTTATATCCACACTCAAGAAATGGGAGACAACACTTCGCCCAAGAAGTTTCAGGTCTTATAGTTTTCTTTCCATAATTTACTTTTTCAATAGGTATACAAAGTCGTTTTGACCGGAGGTCCATGTGGAGGAAAAACAACTGGAATGGACCGCTTGTTTTCTTTCTTCGAAAACATGGGGTGGAAAGTTTTCACAGTGCCTGAAACAGCAACTATACTTTTGGGTTCTAAAGTTAAGTTTTCCGAACTTAACGAGAACCAGGCTTTTGTTTTCCAAAAAGATTTGTTGAAAACTATGTTACAGATTGAAGATGTACGATATTTATAGTGATTCTTCGTGAATACATTTTTGCTTTTAGACCATTTTCAACCAAGCACATTTAGTTAAGAATAGGAATGTACTAGTTTTATGTGATAGAGGAGCAATGGATCCTTCTGCCTACATGTCTAAAAAAGAATGGGATAAAGTCCTGGCAGATCTGGAGATTGCTGAATTTGATTTAATCAACAATCGCTATAATCAGGTAAAAATATACACGCTATGTTCAATATATTCCGTTCAGGTTATTCATATGGTTACAGCTGCAGATGGCGCCCCTCAATATTATTCTGTCGCAAATAATACTTCTCGGTCAGAAGGTTTAATAGAAGCTAGGACGCAAGATGAGAAAACGAGAAGAGTAGTCAAAAATTAGTCTTTCTATATACTGTGAATCTTTGAAGGTATGGTTAGGTCATCCGTATTACGATATCGTTGATAATACTGAGTGCTCTAAGTTTGAAGACAAAGTGCTCAAAGCAATACAGGTAAGCCATAATGAAAAAATAAAACACCCGGTATTTTGAGGTGGTTTGTGATAGAACTGGGGTTGATTCACATGATCGCTTGAGTAAAAACAGCAGGTTTGTTTAACTCTACAATATCTAGTTAAGTTACTACAGAAAACGGAAATGGCTTGTGGGTAGCATTAACGAAAGCGATTTTGTCAAATATGAAGAATACGTTATAAGACATGATTATCTCCTAGCAGACACCCCAACCATTCAAGTAAATTTTAATTGAAAGAATGTTTCTTTAGAAGACTTCAGGTTCGTATCCGCTCACGCACTCAGATAAATCGTGGCAATAGCTATTCGCTTACCACTCGAGTATTTCATGGTGATACAAAAGAGTGCATCGAAACAAGGTTTTCTCAACTTTTTTCTACTAATCATTTTTTCTTCCAGGATGCCCATCAATTTTCGAGAGTATACGAGGTATTTAGGAATGGCTGATAAGAGTAGAGCGGCTCTTTACAAAAAAAGGCGTATTTTTATGGTGGGAAACCAGGTATGGCATTTTTCCTAACTTTCTTCGATACAAATGTTGTACTGTATAGTATTTCAATCTTGATATCTACACTGAGCCATTACCTCCAGCAGCAGAAAAAAAGCATCTAATGTTTTTAGAAACATATACGACTCAACCTAAAGGAAGTAATCTACCGGCTTTACCCAAGTTTTTGCAGATCATAAAAGTTCGTTTTCTGTACTTCATTTTCATTCGTATTCTTCTTTAGGAAGTAACTGGAGATTCGTCGTACAGTATGTACTCTTTAGCAAAACTGCCTGGAGTTCAATGTGAAAGAGACGAGTTCATTGGAGCATCATCGTACAAGGATGATTGAAAAATATCATTATATAAGTTGTTTCTATTAAATGTTAGTTTGTTGAAATGTTTACTCATCAGTAGATTAAACGTTGTGTTTCCAAGCTCTAATTTATTTTTTTTTCGTAATAGAATCATGAAAGTATTATAAGTGTGAAAAAAAGTCAGATAGCATAACTCAATAACAAGCTTTAGTTCAGTATATAGGAATATAGTTCATGAATTGATCACCTCGCATTATCGAACATCAAAAAAGACCATGAAAAGATCAGAACCACACTCATACAGTACGGTTACATAGCGTAATATATAATAACATGCTCTGACCGATTCATTTCTTACAGAGAAACTTTGATGGAACACGAAAAAGGAAGGAAGAATTTACAGTGTTTTCATGAGGAAATTGAATGATATTCGGTTATTCATCGCAAAACATCAGGTTTTTATGTTTCATCAATTCTATATATGCTCAATCTCTAATCTTTCAATTAGGTACTGATTCTCAGACAACTTAGGCACCACAATTACTCAAAAATGAATTGCGTTGTTCCATTAGGCCAATTTTTTTTCTACTGAGTGACAAAAGTTAGTTGGACATTCTTGTTATTTGTAAGGTACGATGCTGAATAACGTCAAAAAAAGTAATAGGCATGGTTTTTAGCTGAAAACTGCCTCTGAATGAACCTTCTTTTTATCACTACAATATTTGATATATCATGTTCCAAAAAAGTATGGTGGAGGGGAGCAGAGATCAACATTCGGTAGTGCAAAGCAAAAATATCTTAAACTCCATAGTTGCAGTGGAGGTCAGCTGCTCTTTCCACAAATAAGATCATCCTTCCAACTGTTGCTACTCTACTTTTATATACTGTGTCCGGGAGTTCTTTGAATAACCACTTTCCACTCCTATTTGGAAGAAAAACATGTTGAGCTCAACAAAATTCTTCTAAAACTATTCAACTTCTTCTATATTCAAGGAGAGAAGAACAAAATGTTCCGATGAACTCTATTACGAAAGATTGAGGTTCAAAACAGAGGTTTACGCTCAAGCTTTATCAGTAGCATTATAAAACGATTAGAAAGTTTAAAATTTCCTTTACGGCAAGCAAATAAAGATTTTAGCACGAATAGATAGATACTGAAAACGGTATAGCACAGTTTTCAAGTCCGAAAAGGTATGAGGTAGCTAGGTAGCCTGCTTCTTTATTTGACGGACTTTGAATATTTTTTCAACGCTCTGCAAATTTGGGTGAGCTTTAACCATGTTATTCGTGTTTCACCTGTTTGAAACAACTGAAGTTGTAATCAATTAGTCCCTGCTTGTCAAAGTTATCAGAACGAATAATGCAAACCATCGCTAAGTAATTGTCGAGTTGTCTGAGAAACAGAACCTAATCGAAGAATTAAAGATTGAATAGCAACGCAGATAAACCTGCTCTGTTTTAAGACGAATAACCGAATAAGATTCCTCATCGAAACACTGTAAATACTGCTTACCATCTTCGTGGTCTACCAAAGTTCCTCTGTAACAAACGATTGAGGGTGTAACACAACTGCAATCATACCCATATATCCCTGATAGATCCATAGCCACATCGATCATATCGCAACATAATTCGTAAGCAGCCATTTCAACTGGATTGGAATCGGTAGCAATATAAATCTTCGAGTTGACATCGAATAAAAAAGATTTTTCCACATTAGAGCCCTGGTAAAACTTATCAATGTCAATGAAACTTCAGAATTACTTGATTGAAAATGTCTAAAAGACGTTCCAATGTTGGTAATTGTGTGACCAAATTCTGAACAACCTTAGAGAAGGCTTCAAAAATAGAATGATCGTAGATAGAAGTTAGATGATAAGTTGGCTGCAAGTCCTGCAGTCCCATATTATGGAATGTCTCCTTCACCTAAACAATATTATTAGAAAATGTAGACAAAGGAACTTAACTCTGTCAAATATATCGAACTGGCAATCCAGTCTTCCTTCTTCAGTTAGGCCATCCACCTTAATGCGAGCATAGTTTTCATTTTCTTCAGAGATTACCTTATGAATGAAAACTTCGAATTTAATTTTCTTGTTAATCTCATATGCCTGAGTGAAATATTCTATCAATTTTGCCAGAGCTTCGGATAGATCATCTTGTGCATCAATCACATATAATAAAGCACCTAGAACAATTTCAAATCCAAATTAAAACAAAATCGGGAAGACCGCATCTCAGAAATGTGTCCATTGGTTGCACCGATTGATCAAACGGGGGAAGCTGTCCAGGGAACTCAATGGTGTCGAACTTTATGAATGAAGATTTATAAACTAAAGTTCGCTCTTTCAATTTATACAAATTCACAAATCAGCTTACCATTAGAAGTCACTCTACTTGTACTTTCAACAAAAAGAGTTTCATTTGGAGACATCTTTTGGAACACAACTTTCCTTATAGAAGTTTTTCCACTTCTGAAGAAAATAAATACTGAAGCATTAGGTCGGAGAAAACCTCTTAAGCCCCATAATCATAATTGAAGGGCGTTGACTCTCGTAAGTTTCACTGTCAGCTAACCCATAACAGTAATCTCCGTCTTCATCGTCATAACCATAGTAATCACCCATCTAAAGCAATTAAACACATCCGAACTAATGGGTGAGATATACAAGATGAATAATAACGAATAACCAATGAAAGATATTGTCACAAATTCTTAAAAAGTAGGTATTCATATGTGTAGATAAATTATAGGTATGCATTTTTTCTTTAACAATTTCGTCTTATCATCACACGAAAACTCATGAAATGAACTGAATTAAAGTACGCAAACTGTCGTGGAAGCTTGAAACATAGATCCTCAAAGGAAACTGTCAAAATCAATCAAAGTGCTAGAACTATAGATAAAATCTGTATAGTACAATGAACTAGTAATTAGAATGGTTAGCTTTAGGTTCGGTTATTGCTTCTTTTAACAATGACACAACTTCGGGGGGCGCGAAAGACAAATTTCGTAAGTAACGATGACCCAGAGCACTTTTTGCTGTGATTCGGCTTTCAGGATGGTAAGATAGCATATCCTAAACGAACCAATGATTTAAATTGACAAAATTAAACAAATACCCTCGCTAATGCCACTCCATCGTCTTCCAGAGGACCCATAGTTCGTTTTAAGTTATCATCTTCCACTTTCCATTTAGGAAAGACATGCTTGAAGTTTGGGAGTAAATCTACTTCTGGCCAAATCTGATAAAAATTTCAATGCCGCGATACAAAAAAAATTTACTTCAGTTGATGGAGTCCCTAACAGCTTGAAAATTTTGAAGAGTTGATCGATTTCTGAATCACCTTGGAAAGGTGTACCGCCGCTAGCCATTTCGATGAAAATACAACCCAAGCTCCATATATCGAGCCCTGTGCAGTAGTACCGTCCACCAAGCAATACCTTAAATTGATTGATGAATCCATGAATCGAGAATCATAAAACCTCTGGTGCTCGGTACCACAACGTTACTACTTCATGGGTATACGGCCTACTCGGCATTGAGAAATTCCTATAGTTCAAAATGATATTTACTGATGCTAACACTTACCTTGCTAGCCCGAAGTCAGCTAGTTTAATAATCCCATTGGCATCAACTAAGAGATTTTGGGGTTTTAAATCTCGATGTATCACCCGCCTTGTATGACAATATGCGATAGCCTGAAGAAGTTGCCAAACGAAACTGTGAAAAAATGCGATGAAGAAAATCGAGAACTACTTATCTTCACATGCTGTGGGGGAAGTTTTTTCTCTGGGAGCAGATCTAGAAGACCTTTTAAGTCTCTATCCACAAACTCAAAAATCAGGAACAAGCGGTCACCTGAAGGTATCATGTTTGTATTTAATAGTTTAAACAAACTTAATAATACCATTATGTATCACGTCGTATAACCGAACTATATTAGTATGGTTTAGGTCTTTCAAAAGAGTTATTTCGCGTATACAGGTACTTGGGACACCCTCTCCGTCCCTTGAAGTAACTTTGTTTGGAAATAATCTATTAAACCTCTCACGTTTCTAATCTAATTTTTTTTAGTGCAACTTTCAAACCAGACTTTTTATGTATTCCTTTAAAAACAACTCCATAAGTTCCTTCACCGATTTTTTCTAAATCCCCAAACTTGGAAAGTTGATCGAGACTCATGATCTTTAATGAATAAACTTACAATGAATATAGTAGAACTCGAGAGTACATTAAAGCACAGTTAACCTATACACGCTTAACAAGTTAACATATGAGTATATTCACAGTATAAATTGTTATAGATAATCAACAAATCAAATGAGACTTGCACCCGTTTTCCCGCGCAAAAGACAACCGCTCAAAAACGCGGGAAAATAAGGTGCGTGGTTCGGTTCGAATACCTTACATATTATCTTTTCTGGAGCTCCGTCGTCATTTTTCAACATTTGTTTTTAATTCTTCTCCAATAAACTTTTTTAGTTATGGCTTTCAACAATAAAGAGAGGGATTTCGCAGCTGAAAAAGATAGAATTCGTGAGTTTTTTCAATCCCACTATGAAGAGAACTCAGACGGAGCCAAGGTTAATATCCTATTTTGGTTCCTTTTTTGACTAAACCAGTGTTCTAGGTTTTTTCATATCGTGATCAAATTACCCGTATAGCAGAAAGAGAGGAAGTATCGTTTCCTATCAACATGGATGATGTGTATAACTTTGATCCATCACTTGCTGAATCATTTCACGGGAACGCGAGACGGTATGTCCATTGTTTTGAATCAACAACTCTTCTATTCAATGTTATATAGCTACATGCAACTCGTGAACGAAGTGTTGGATGAACTCATACAAGACTATTTGGGTGAAAGACAGGTTTTTCCATTTAAATATCCATTTTCATTATCCGAGTTAAGCCACCCGTTCGTGATGCATTAGATGCTTTCATCTTTCAAAGACTGTATATGGATAATACTCAGAAAAACATAGATGGTGGTGTTATAAGTAGTAATGACGCAAGAAAAAAATATCCACCACAACTGTTACGTAGATAGTGAGTAGTATGTATATCTTCACTTCAATTATGATGTTTTGCAGTGAACTTTCTTTAAAATCCAAAAATGATGATAAAGTTCTTGCCGTTAGAGACATCAAGGTGAAAATTAATGACAAATTTCCGCTAACCTTTTTAAATTAAGGCTTCGTCAGTTGGAAAATTAGTTAGTGTCGGTGGTATTGTTATTCGTGCCACTGAAGTTCGGCCTATGGCTTCAGTTATAACATATTCATGCGATACTTGCGGAGCTGAAGCTTATCAACCTGTAGTCATTCAAATTTTTCATTGATTATCAGAAGTTTCATAGGTTAACGGACCATCTTTCACACCCGCTCTCTCTTGTCCAAGTAAAGATTGTACAGAGTCTAAAGCTAATGGAAGACTACATATGCAAATCCGCGGTTCTAAATTTGTTAAATTCCAAGAGTTGAAAATTCAAGAATTGGTAAATTTTTTTCATAGCTCTACTCTGTCTAAGTTTTTATTAAGAGTGAGCAAGTACCTGTTGGATCTATTCCTCGTTCGTTAACTATCAATGTTTACGGGGAAAATACTAGAAAATGCATTCCCGGGGATAACGTGAAAATCACTGGTGTGTTTGTTCCACTGCTCCAGAATGGTTATCGAGTAGGAGGAGGCTTGGTAGCCGAAACTTATTTAGAAGCTTATGTAATTGTGTTTATGGTACCTCTCATTTTTCATTTGTCTTTAGCATGTAGAGAATCAAAACAGAACTGAGGACGAAAACTTGGAGCTAACTGATGAATTAACAGATGAAGAGGTAAAACTGCTATCTTATGTGTTCACCTAGAGTTTATTCGTAGATCGAAATGGTCAGTCAAGATAACTTCTATGATTTGCTTGCGTATTCTATTGCTCCTGAAATTTATGGGCTAAAGGATGTAAAGAAAAGTTTATTACTGGCTTTAGTTGGAGGTGTGGATAAGAACGCAAGTGGAATGAAAATAAGAGGTCTTACAGCAACTTTACACCAAACAAACTACTTACTAAATATTTTTTTGTAGGAGCCTTAAATATTCTATTGATGGGCGATCCAGGTGTCGCCAAGTCTCAACTTTTGTCTTATATTGATCGTCTCGCACCTCGTTCTCAATACACTACTGGAAGAGGCTCATCAGGAGTGGGTTTGACCGCTGCCGTTATGAAAGATCCTCTAACTGGAGAAATGACTTTGGAAGGAGGGGCATTGGTGAGTAAGTTGTACTGGAACTCTTGAATAGTGAATTTTAGGTCTTAGCTGACAAAGGCATATGTTGTATCGACGAGTTCGACAAAATGTTAGATAGTGATCGCACTGCTATTCATGAAGTTTGACAATCTACATTGAAGATTACTATTTTTCTTAAGGTAATGGAACAGCAAAGTATATCTATTGCAAAAGCTGGCATTATGACCACGTTGAATGCCCGTGTATCTATCATAGCTGCAGCTAACCCTGCATTCGGAAGGCGAGTGATCGAACTTCTAATTTCAGTTCTATAAAAAAAATTTGTAGGTACAATCCTCAGCGTAGTATTGAACAAAATATCAACTTACCCGCTGCTTTGCTATCGAGGTGTTATCAAGAATTTAACTAATCCAAACTAGTCATTTGCAAGATTCGATTTACTCTGGCTAATACGCGACAAAGCTGATCGAGAGTGTGACAAGCGACTTGCCATGCATATTCTTCATGTGCACAAGTTCGGTAAACAACCTGAAATTACTGGATTGAAGCCTCTCGAAATGAGCCTGGTCAGGTGTGTTCATCAACGCGAACACTCACTTAGTGAAACATTACAGACGCTATGTAACAATTTGCAAAAAAAAGAATCCAGTCGTTGATGAGTCCTTAAGAGAGAGGTAAGAAGTGATACGTTGGCTGTGCTAAAGAAATTATTCAGATTGGTTGAAATGTACGTGGACATGCGTAGAGAAGCACGTGATAGTGATGATTCAACGTTTACGTCTCCAAGAATGCTACTTTCAGTCATAAGGTTCGAACATTTCACTGGATATATTGTTAATAATAATCAGAATGTCTACCGCATTAGCTCGTCTAAGGTTAGCTGATACTGTAGAGTCAGGTGATATAGAGGAAGCTATCAGATTGATGCAAACGAGCAAAGATTCTCTTAGACCTGAGATTCACAGACAGGAAATGTATGTTTTGCTTTAAAATGTTGATGTAAAAGAGTTAATTTTTTTCTCAGGAAGCAATCGCCGATTGATCAAGCGTTCTCCGTTTTGCGCGAGATATATCATTCACAGGGTAATGATGAACCGATTATCATGCAAACGGCAGTCCAGAAATGTGCTCGCAAGGGTATCAGTGAGGAAACTTTACAGAAATCAATTGAAACTTATTGTAAAACTGGAATACTTCTCTTGGATCGCCAGCAGCGAATTCGATTCTCAATTAACTAACTGCGAGAAAACTTGTATGATCTCATATTACTAATTTCATTTACTCTGTATTATGCATCTCTCCCTGCATTTACTGAATTGTTCGAATAAGTAGTTTCTGTTTCAACTGGTAAATTCAACCGAACTACGTATCTTTCTGTTGATTCGCCTGATAAAGCTAATTTTTCAGGATTGTATGCTTAAATCTGTATTGACCACTTTTTTTCGAGTAAATAAACTCAATTCGCGTTGTATCCAAGCTTCATCAACTTCAAACAATCAAGCGATTGGTCAACAGATTGCAAAATTAGCAATTGAGTATACTTGCAAAGCCTGTGGTTCGAGACAGGTAATAGTTTTTATAGAAATTTTTCATCTAGTTTGTAGGGTCCTGTTACATTCTCGAAATCGTCCTACGAAAACGGAGTAGTAATTGTAACTTGTACTGGTTGCAAAAATCATCACATTATCGCTGATCACCTCAAGTGGTTCGAAGACTTTGAAGTGAATCTTCTTTCATGTCATTGAATGAATTGATTTTTTTGTAGGGTAAAAACATTGAAGAGCTTCTAGCCAAGAAAGGAGAAAAAGTAGAACGTGGAATTCAGTTACATATAAAGGGGGCTATCAAGTCTGGTGAAAAGTAGTATAAAAATAATTCTGTTTATCAAGTTCTCTTCAGAATAGAGAAATGATCTACAATTCACATATTCCACTGTCACCTGCTTCAAAAACTCTACTAGGTGTAGGTTCAGCTATCGCTGCGATTTTAGATCCTAGAAGAGGTGATATGGTGGCAGCAATGGGGGAAGCAACAGCATATCCTTTCATTCTAGAGAATATAAGGCTAGTCATATTTATCGTCTATTCAGCTGTGTATTCAGAACTAGAATGGAAAAAGATAAGACAGGAGCACGACTGTTGAAGGATAAACCAAGAATCAATAACTCGACTATTGATAGAAAATATCTTTCTTCTCTATCCAGTAACACTTTGGGAAAAGAATACTCCAGGTAAGAACCAAATATTTATGCTTGTTAAGTATATATATATGTGCACTTTAAGATTCCTTGATTCTCTTCACACGAGCCCTGATGCTCGCCCTAATGTAAAATACATAGATGATCCTAATCATTTGTATGTTATGCAAAGGTATCGAGAAACGCATGATTTCACTCATATTGTTCTTAATATGAGAACAAATATGGTTGGAGAGGTGAGTTCATATACTCAACCAAGTCGAATCTCCTCTTCTAGGTCGTTGTTAAATATTTCGAAGGTATACAATTAGGTTTGCCCATGTGCGTAGCCGCTGCTATCTTCGGTGGCGTTCGGCTGAAATCAAAGTAACGTATTCCAAGGTCAAAGTTTTATTTGTTTATCATAGGAATAGACAAAATCTACTGGATGAATATCTGCCCTGGGCTATCGCACAAGCTTGCAATTCTAAATTGCTCATTAGTGTTGATTGGGAAAACCATTGGGAAACGCCTTTACCTATTCTTAGAAAACAACTAGGTCTAATGGAAACACCAGAGTTGGGATCACTGACATAAATCTTTTTTCTTCTCTTTGTTGTTATTTCATAATAAACTTCATTTCCCTTTTTCAATTTATATTCTGTAGATAGAGTCCGTATTTTCTTTATTGCATGATTTATTTTTGAGTACGGGGTTTTACTTAACAAGAAGGTTTACAGTCTCCCGTTCACAATCGCATAGAACTCATCATCAACAGAATAAGCGTTGAATACATTACTTATTTCAACATCTTCCTGGAATCGGCGAACAGCGCGCTGAATATTCCAGAAGTTTTTCGTTATGCCAACGATGTCTCACCTGTAATGCAGGAAGAAGAACAAAAAGGCTAGCCAAACGTGAGCTGGGTTCGAGGCATCTCATAATATGCTTGTGATAGTAAGATATTTCATCTACTACTTTTTTTCTTATTTTGTCGCACGCGATTTCACATTCTCTGGTCTGCCCTTCAAGTCCTAAAACAAACTGCTCTCACAAACACCATTTGTTAATGTGGAAACCATGATCCCAAAGACAAAAACAGCACATAGCTAGAAACTCGTAGTTCGTAATTCGAAGATCTCTCATAGGATCAAGAATATTCCTGCGATAAATGTTGAACGAAGGAGCAAAAATTCTTAAAAATACATCTTTTTACTTTTGTAATATAAAAAAAACTAAATAAGAAATAAATAGAATACGAACCTCACAGCTTCTTCTGTTGACATCTCTTGTTTTCCATCATTATCTACATAAAATGTTTCGGGGTGTCTAGCATCCACGTAATCTCCAGAAGGCAAATATAAAATGTCAGATCTGTCTGTGAAATGGTAGCTACAGATTTATCTTGTAGAAAATACCTTTTATAGTAGCGAAGTAACCTGTTTCGAGCAGCATGAACGGTAGATAAAAGGCTCCAAATAGTAATTTCTCAAAAACAACAGTATTACATGGAACAGTTGCATTCAAACCTTCTGGGAACTTTCGAATGTTTGGAAATCAGGGAAAGTTTTAACAACAACTTCAATTATCCAAGGTATTTCTTTCACATTGATTTTGTTCGCCTCTTTATAACATATTGCTTTCGGATAAGTCTTCTGAAAGTTTTAGCTTATAATCAGGTCTCGTTGAAAGACTACGATCAGTACAATTATATCTCGGTAATACCTCAAACTCACAGCTTTGCTCTCTGTGTAAAATGTGCCGTTTTTCCTCTAACTTGTTATACTGATCTAGGAAACTATTGAGTATTGGCATGTTTGTATCTTTCCCAGCGATTTGAATATCCTAAAGAACAGTTCATAAAGAAGATTGAACCGTTGTTAAAATCACTTGTACATGATTGAATTCTGCGCTGTTTAATAATCCTTCTTTTCTACGCCCAATCATATCGCGATGTCTTTGTACGGCTGAATGAAAAAATGAAAAAAATCGTTAATTTGAATAACCTGTTTTCTGCATGCCCACAGAAAGACACTTTTCGAAACGACAGGCTCGACACATGCATCGACCACCTAAAGAAAATAATTAGAAAAGTATATTCTTGAAACATCTACCTGTGGAAATGGAACATACTTTAGATGTGCGACACACATAAGTTTTACGTAGCGCCACGGATCTCCGAAAAAATGCTGCGCAAGCTCTGTAAAGTTTTAAAAAGTTCAGAGTATGAAAAAGAACCTGCATGCTTCCGCTCCAAAATGAGCTCCGTCTCCTCGTTCCGCACAAACAGAACAAGGCGGTTTCTCTTTCGGTCTTGGCATAACTGTAATCAACAAGATTATAGGAAAAAGGAAACTGCAAGTGTTCTCTTATGAAGTGATATCATTTGATTCGATCGATTCGTCATATCAGCAAGTGCAATTGAAGAGAGAGAAACAGTGAAAAGAGAGTTAGTTTATGAAATATTATGGGAAAAAAATTAGATGAGGATTAGATTTTCTAGTTTATCTTTTATAGACATGCAACTCTCCTCAATCTTTGCAACAGTGCAATTTCTTCAAAATGAAATCAATCTAATATTGTAATTTTCATGTCGGAGATGATCAACTGATAAGCTACCCTGATTATTAAGAAACATGACAGCGATTGTGATACTTATAACTTCATTCCAATTTTAGGCAATGAGGGTATGTACAATTTTTGTGTACCTTTTCGGAGTTGTACAAGCTTTCAATATATTGTTCATACCAGAAAAATACTCTGCCAGTCATATTTGGAGCATGATGCCGTTAGCAATAAAGTATAAGTCAATTTTTTTCTATTTCTTTGTTTTTTTTTTAGACTGAGAGATAGAAAACATCATGTGACATTTCTTGATTTCAATGACAAGAGTGATCCAACGGTTGAGTTCCCGGAAGGAATTAGTGAGTTAATGTTGACTTTTTTCAAAAATTAACTTCTTCCAGGTAATATTCATATTAATTATACGGAAGTGAGCTCACATTCTGATGTTTGTGAACAATGAAGTAAGCAACACTTCTGTTTCTTGTTCAGTTTCTCGAGCGTAAATGGAAAGAGAGGTGGAGGGGCTCTGGTATATGGAGAGCCTATCTTGAAGTTGAAAATTATTTTGAGGAATCCTACTTCTCGAGGAAAGAACAGGTATTATCTTAACCTCGAGGTGAAACCTCTTTTTCTAGTACCAACATGTGTTGAACAAAAAATGGGATTTAGTTCTAGTAGACAGTTAGTTTCCAGCCAAAAGCTGAAGAGTTCCACAAATAAGCTATTCAGTCATGGACAATAACCACGGATTTGCTATCGGTCAACTACTGTACAACTCAGGTGTTCCCTACGCTTTAGTGCACACCAGTGTTCTGTTTCATTCTTTTTCCGCTGCAATGAGCTTAGGTATAAAATATCAACTCATTTAACATTTCGTCATAGGAAATAACCCCATCTCACGAATGTCCATGTTCGCATCATTACCCCAGTATAGATACAAACCATACAATCCGAAAAGTTTTTATGAGAGGTTTGATCAGTTCTACGATACAACTATGGAAACCATTAATCTCCTCTACCGCCGTACGGGACAACTGAATTACATATTTCAAATTTTCTTCTTAGTTCCTCCTCACTTGCGTATGCATAAAACAATCACACAAGAAACATTCAGCTTTGAGAAAATATACAGCAACGCAGCATATTCCATAACGGATAATATGGATGAACTTGGCTTCCCATCTCCAAGTTTTCCGCAAGTTAAAAATTATGTAACTATTTGAATTTCGCTAGCATCTACATCTTTGTTGTCCGCCGGATCACATTGTCTGGAGAGAGATAAAAGTGGTCTTACATCAGAATTGAGTTCATTCGTTAGTGAAAAATCGGCAGGTCTTTTGATTTTTCAAAGCAGCTTACATAAAAATTAAGTTTTGCAGGTATTATATATGTTGCTTTTGGTTCTGTTGTTGATTGGGCCACAGCTCCGCAGGCAAAAAAAAAAGTTTTCTTCAATGCATTGAATGAATTGGAAGAATTCAGGCATAAAAAATCAAAACGTTAAATGTTTATACGCTACTTCAGAATCATATTCATCTATTCTGGTAACGATTATAAGTTCAAGCGTCATATAAAGACAGTGAAGTGGGTGAATCAAGCGGCAGTACTGAAACATCCAAACACAAAAGTTTTTTTATCTCATGGAGGTTTGAAAAGGTGGGATTCTTTCAACTTATTTCGAGAAACAACTTCATTCAGTTTTCGTGAATCTTTATGTGCTCTTGTACCTATGGTTATACTTCCAATATTTGCCGAACAGGCATATAACTGTCGTTTGGCAGTAGAACGAGGTTTTGCATTAGCACTCAACAAGAACGAAATGACTGTTGAACAAATCAAGAGCAGTATTAAACAGGTTGTTCAAGAAGTTTTTCTGATGATTCCTTATTTTGAGGTGGCCCATAATGCTACTTTTCATAAATATATCAAACATAATTATGAAATATATTCGGACCAACCAATGGAAGAATTGGATAAAGTAGCTTTCTCATTGGAAAGAAGTATTCGGTTGACCTCAAGAAGAAGACCCCAGTTTGAAATTAAAGGTGTTTATAATACTTGGTTGGCTCATTTCTACTTAGATTGTTTCTTGATTTTCATTTTTTCATTGTTTATTTCCTATATGTAGTATGAAATGGTATTTATACATATACAATTTTTTTTGTAAGATGGTTAATTTAACTTCTACATATTCAACTGTTCCAACGCAGATGAAAAGTAAATTCGGGAGAAATTTACTTTGTTTATCTTTTCTTCTAAAACTATCCATTTATCTCATGGCTTGTGGAGAACCATTTCGTCCACTATATGCTTCCTCTTCCAATAAATTAGCACTCTCGCACAACAAACTTCGAAGATCCTAAAAAATGATGAAATTGCATTACTCTAATAAAATTTACTGAATCGCTGAGATCTCCTCCTTGTTTATGAGAATAATGTCTTCTCATTGGCTTTTGTGGGTTCAAGCTCACACCTGGAGCAACAACCATATGATTCAGAACGTCGCTCAAAGATATGATACCCTGACAAAAAAAATGAGGCTGGATATTAACGTTGAGTAACACTAACAGCTATTTCTCCTCTTTCATTGACCGCACATAGCCTGTGTACATTTTTTTCGACTAGGACTGTTATTGCCTTCCAAAGAGTGTCTGTTTCCAGAACAGATACGACTCGATCTTCATTTTTACTGTTCTGAAATAAAAAGATCAGATGTTTATTAGTGGAAGATCTACATGCAAAGCGTTTTTGAATTTGATAGCTTCAGACACAGGAAAATCCAAGGAGTTAGGTCCATCAGCTAGTGCGATTCCTATAGCATCAAATCTCGAATACATATCCAGAACTCTATGAATTTGAACATATTTTCAAGGATTATAAATGTGCTCTACTTAAAAGTATTTCGTTCCACTACTGGTAGACCAGAAACTCCTTTGTTTAATAGAATATCGAGACAATCGGATAAAAGAGTATCAGGGTAAACCTAAAGTATTAGAGAATAAAACAAAAAAACGAAATAAAATTCCATCATACCACACGAATGCCCACCCAGGTGCCGACACATAACTTTTTTGCTGTTTTCACATGATAGTCGGGTTGAGAAAACTGATGTCCCTGGAAAAAATATTTTTCTACTTGTATGAATTCAATTATACATACAAAACACCAGAGGAACTTGAGCAAACGTTTGTGAGTTAAAATAAACAAAGGACTTCCATTTTCCGGATCGAGTACTGGTAGACGATGGATTCGATGATTAGATAGTAATCGAGCAGCTTCCAACAAACTATGAACATCTCTGAATTAAACTCATAAAACAAAGAAAAAACCTTTTGTCAGCTTCAATAGATATTAATGGGATGAGTTTTCCTTCCCGACTTATCAAATCTGAATGAGAAACTAGAAAGAGCGTGAAATAAAATAATACCTCTGTAACACTCTATCGTTAGTTGTCCCAAGTTTTCATTTTCTGATACCGTCTCGCTGCTACCTCCATTCATTTTTTCGTTATACTTTTTCTCTCTTTTAAATCATCATAGAACAATAAATTAGTCAAAGTACCTGTGTAATTTCAGCATTACCCTTATGAAATCCGTCACTGAAAGAATTCCTGTCATTACTCCAGGATTTTCGGCGTCAGACAGCAAAACATGACGAGTTCCTGAAAAAATTGATGAAAAGAAGCTAGAATAAGAGTTAACCTTGATAAATAAGCCCGTTGAACGCTTTTCCTAAATTGAGTTTCGTGTCAAAAACTACCATTTTACTTGACGACGGCATGGCCTCATAGCATTGATTAAGCATCAATAACCTAGCATATGACTCAGGTTCGTGATGTTTTACCTGGAATGAGATGCTTAGATCGTACAAAACAAAACGCCAACATCAGCTTTATGAGTCAATGCCTGAGGCATAGGCAGTTTCAACGGATAAGCATGCTTTGATCTAGGAGATCTAGAGCCATCAGTTGGATGTGGTGACATCAGAAACCTAAAAGAGAAAGTTGAATAACAGAATAGGATGTTGATGAGATAGAAAGAGAAAAAATAAGAACAACAATCTATTTGTTTGTGTAATATTCAATAGGACATGAATAGTTATGATTCGCATGTAGTGCTGGAAAACAGCGAAAATGTAACTGGCGTAACCTATTTCCATATAGATCAAAATTATTACGCAGATTAGAAATAAGTTCCCGAACAATCCAATAATACTTCTATGAAACACTTTTTTCCAGAAAACAAATGTATACTCACGCAGCTAACCCGACTCAAAAGGTGAAAATTTATGAAGAAAATAGTTGAGAACTTTAGCAAAGAGGAAGGACAAGCTATCAATCTTCTAGCGATCGCAATGATACTGCAACCAAAGTTCAAGCTATATATCCGAACTTAGTTGAAATGATGTTCCGGAGAACTATGAGAAAAGAGAGAAAATACGAGACGTCGGGAGGAAACGAGAAGCAAAGTATGAAGGACAAAACCTGAATATAGATCGGTTGAAAACCTGAATCTTCGAATAAATCCTTTAGAAGAACTATTTAATCAATTCAAAAATCAACAACGATTGAAGCAGCGAACTAACCGTTTCTAATCAAGTAATATCTTTTAAAGATGACCTGTAGCATCACGAATAGCTTGGATTAAATCTCGCTGTTCTCTCATTCTCTCTTTATACTTATTTGTATTCCACATCGTAGATTCTCTCTCTTCTACTGACATGAAATGACGCCTGAATTACAAGTTGATTGAAGAAAACTTTTTCCTTCACTTTACTTCGAGATGTTCTTCAAGAATGCATATTTCCAATCACCTCCGCTGACATAAACATCTCTCAGTATACGGGCAATGTTATTACAGGAAATCACCATAGGTCCATTCTGCCATCTGACAAAAACAGAGGAGTAAAGACTATGAGATGGACACCAACTTCACATATCTTTGTATTGGTAGTCTCATTGTGTGAACTTTAGCCCTCCTCCCATTACCTAACGCTTCCCGTGAAGCATCCATAGTAATAGGAATTACATAAGCGTCATGTTTTAGTGGTCCATCTAAAACTGAACGCGCATGCCTGAACTATTAGTTTCGTTTTATATCTAAAGATAGGAAACCGAGAAATATATATCACTTCCTTTTCCTGATTTTGCACACCTAGCTCAGATACCTGGGGTAGGATGTTTTGATCTAAGTAATCGCCGTTGAAAAAACCTATTTCCCTAAAGAGCTCAAAAGGGTAAAGGTGAGCATGAATAAACCAACTTGAATACGAAATTCCTGTGATATTCATCATCTTTATAGTTAATGAAACGTAAAGGGAGTGGCACACTATTATCATAATTCTCCTGCAGAAACATTCATAGGTTTTTTTTCGTGAAATATAACGAACACTGATGAGATACTGCACATGGCGGGCTAAAGTTCTCTGATTTCTCTGAAGCTCATTAGGTATATTCTGTAAATCTAGCAAAAGCTCAGGAGCTTCCATTGTCAAACTGCGAAGTACACGGGAGCCTCGGATGTGATTCAATTCTGTAAAGCGATTTCAACATCAATAACGCAAACAATTATTACTTTTGCGATTTCTCAATGGATTGATAAGGAGCTGATTTAATCCAACACCATATCCCATCTCTCCTCTGAGAAACTTTTCGGTCTATTCGTACGATACTTCAGAAGAACACAAAAAGGCTCTTACTTCACACACAAGATGCGACTGGTAATCATTATCTTTCGATTCTTTCTTTCGCTGATCTTTTTCTTCCCGAATTTGTTTGAGGGCGACGAAGGCCAGTAGACCAACTCGAGATTTAACATCTTTCAATGTGAGAAGCCTAAAATATTATCATGACACTTTCTCACATTTTGATATCCTACTGATTCCAATCTTTATCTGACAATTTTTGTGGCATAATTGTCGCCAAGTATACGTAAATCTGAGCAGGTTAATATAGACAAAAAAAGAAAATAATACTTCAAGTTCTTTTTGCAACAGATCATATTGTTCCCTTTTCTTGGCATCAAGATTTTTAAACCAATGCTCTGTTGGTTGTAAATTCTCCAAATGCTTTGTAAACTCAAATTCTTTATGACTGTAAAACAGATAATTTGTTTTGAAAAATTGGCAACTCACCTCACGGTAGATTCGTTCCGAATGCTTCTATGTGGATGGATAGCCAATTCACCAAATCCTTTAAGAATTCCAGAACAGCTCAGTACAGACGTACATGATTTTAGTGGTTTTCTTTTCATCATAAAAATCTCAAATCCGAACTACTTAAATAATTGTCAAAATTGATCATTTAAAAGAACGTTTTTATTTTTTCAGAGTATACGCAAAATATCGTTAAAACCGGTGTGTTTTTAGTGATTATGTACTCCCCAAACTGTATATGATACGATTTCTAATATGTATTCTTCGTTGGAAAAAAGCAATATTGACTCACTACCACCCTTTGATAGTTAATATTTCTGTTTTTTCGTAGAATGCACAATCAAAAAGGAACATCCTCATATCCTACATAGACTATTAAAATAAAAAATTTCGAAAAATTCAAATATAAAATTTGAATTCATTCTATGTTATGTTTGTAGACCTCCCTGCAGATCTTGAAGATTTCAAGTATTTTTTCAGTCTCAAAATGGTCGTAAACGTTCCAGATGAGTTAGGGGGAACTAAGAAGTTGAATGATAATTATGAAATACCTATGATAGGTTTAGGAATTTCAAGAATAACTGATCAGGTTTATCAATTTTTAACGAAAAATGTTCAACTCTTTCCAGAATAGCTTAAACGATGCTATCGAAGCAGCTTTACGTTCTGGATATCGTCTTTTTGATACTGCGCATATATACGCAAATGAAAGTCAGTTGGGGAATGCTCTTCAGGTATTACTACAATTTTGGAAAATTTATTACCGTTTTCTCTCAGCTAAACTTGACGAAATTTGGTTTGACTCGTTCAGATGTTTTTATAACTACTAAAGTTCCAATTGTTGATGAGAACACATCTGACTGGGTTAAGACACATTTGAGAGAATCATTAACGAAACTACAAACAGAGTGAGATATTATCGCTCTCAATATACATGAAAGAAATTGAGTTATTTGGATTTGGTTCTTGTACATTATCCACGTGATCGCTTTACTGGAAGCGATGGCAACAGAGAGCTTAATCAGACAGGACGCCGTTTGGTCTGGGAAGAGTTAGAAGAAGCTCAAGGTTTTTAATTCACGTTATTCAAGAAAAGAGATATTATGAAGCCAGAGGTCTGATTCGTTCCATCGGTGTATCTAACTATACTATTTATCATCTAGAGGAAATGGACTCTTATGCAAAAGTGATGATCCGTTATAGTGAATCGAATGACTAATTTACTTATAGGTTAAGCCAGTGTTGAATCAAATCGAGTTTCACCCTTATTTGACCATAGATCAAATCCGATCTTACTGCGCCACGAAGAACGTCTTTGTTCAGGTTTAACTATTATAAAAAAAATATAATTGTACCTATTAGGCTTTTTCATCATTGTGTTGGGCGAACCAAGATATTTTAAACGAACCCGTTGTACAACTCCTTGCAGCAAAGTATTCGGTTTCTCCCCAAATTATTCTGTATACTTTCGCTTTGAATACGGGAGTGGGTATAATCCCCAAATCGGCTACACCTAGCAGAATTGAAGATAACATCAAAAAGGTATTTCTTATTTTTTCATCCTAGTTAAATCCGTTTAAGACCGCTGCTATTCGACTGGAGAAAACAGATATATTCTTGCTAATGCAGCTCGATCAGAATAAAGCATTTTGCCCTGGTTGCCAATGCTGGAGAGTGCTTTGAGTTATCTTTTCTGTTACTCTTATTTATCGAAGAATTAAATATTCTAACTTTCTTGATTTCTTTTCAATTTTGCATTTCGTACCAGGATTCAAAACCAGCACCACCTAACATGCTCAGAGGGTTGAACGCGAAAAAAACCTACTTAAGAAATAAGATATCCTCGTCTAAGCATTCTTAGGAAACGAAGACGAACGCAAACGTTTCCAATCGATTATTTAAAGCAACCTATAAAGGGAGACCAAAATTTACTTTTCGAGCTTTAGCTTACGATATGGCCAACCCAGTGAGAATAGGATTTTTACCAGCTGAAGAAGATGTGAAAGGATGCTATGCAGTTCCAGGATGCAAACGCCCAGGATCTGATGTTGAAATAGTTTTTTTAGCTTTCAGACTTTTAAAAATTCCTTATATTGTGGTAAAATCCTAGGTCTACCAGTATATATCATTTCGATTTTTGCAGATCGATCTTTTGAATGATTACGACGTCTCGTATGATATGGGGCAGAAGCTCGAGAACGGAAGTTGGACTGGAGTGACTAAACTTTTGATAGATAGTTTGTTAACTTCACGATACTTGAAAATTAAGTTTTCAGACCATATTGATATGTGTGGTGTTTCCATGCGTGTTACTGAAGAGAGGAATGAAGTTATTCATTTTTCATATCCAACCAGATATTTTCAAGTAACATAGTAGTTTCTTTTCAAACACATTGGTATTTATAGTCGATTTATATATTGAAAAGGCCGTCCGTCATATGTCCGCGTACTTTCATCTTCAATGCTTTCTCAGAAGTTACCTGGATTTTAATAGCATGCTCGATCTTGGTTTCGGTCATCACGTCATTTATAATTCATTTTTGTCATTTCTCTCTTCATTTCCCTCAACTATCTGAATCATCAAGGAAGCGCTGGTCAAGCATATTATTCTGTGCTTTACAGGTTAGGGAGTAGCATACAGAGTCATAATCTTCAACTACTTCAGAAAGGGTTCAGTTTCCCATACTCTTCTTCCAGAGATTTTCCGTCTTTGATGGTTTATAACCTGTACTTACTCTTTGTTTTTTTCATTGTCATGCAAATTTACCAGTCGAAGATGTATGCTTATTTAGCTTCTCCGAATAAGTATTCTATTCCTTTCTATTCTCAGAAAGATTCTTTAAGTGGGAAACGTTTTGACTACAAATTTTTTTCGTTTAAGCTTTTGTAGAGAATGGGAACGGATTTTACACAGCATTTGCTTATCAAAAGCTACTATGTTCGACTGATGAGAATTGTCAACGCTTCCAAGAGGTTACAATGAAGCGTCCTATTAGTCGTAGAGAACGTCAAGCTGAAATCGAAGGGGATTTAAAGTTGAAAATATAGTTTAGAAAAGTTAGCGCATTAACTTTCCAGCATTGGCGGCATTTATGAATCAACAATTGACAGTGCCTTCCTATCCAGTCCAGTTACTTGGTTTGGAATGATAAAGGGAAGAAGCTTTAGTTACAAGTTAGGTTGGACAATCGAAAGCAGGACAGAATAATCATTCAAGAGGAAGATGGCGCTCGGTATTTCGTCGCATATTCGTTCAGTTCCAAAAATAAAAAATTGCGAAATAGGTAAGAGTTTTTTTTCTTAAATATTTGTCAACTAGAAGAGTGTTTTTTTTTTAGCTTCAATGAGGCTTTAATCCAGATCTTACCTGCTGTTCCTCACATAAGTTCCGGTCATGGTTACAATACAAAGCGCCTTCCTTTTCAACTGACTTCTAAGCCTAATTTAGTTCCTCTGTCATTATCAAGCCATCTACTTCAGTTATTCAAACTTTTCTTGTATGGAATAAGCTTTTGTTCTACTTTTTTCATCTTTGAACATATCATAATTTACGTGAAATCAAAACTAATAGTTTAAGCTTCGAACTCTTTTTACAACACAAGAATCATGAAAAAATCCTAAGCACAGCTGTTTGCAGCATCTGTCCGACATAGATTTATAAACTTTCTCTGAAGTCATTTGTTGTGTTTTCCATTCTTTTTTCGTTCTTATGATTTATAAAGATTTGTTTGTCTTTCCTCTCTTCTTTGTAAGATTTGCTTAACTTCACTATTCCTATATTGACATGAGCTTAAGTGGTTTAGATGCAAGATGCTTTATGAAAATGAAACTACTCAAGATTTCAACTTATTTTGATTCTGTAATTTTCTTCTTTGAAAATATTTTCAGCACAAGTTATCCATCCTATATATTGTATTGTTTTTTCTTTTCACGGGCAATGAGTAATCCAACAGCTGCTTCCTCATCATTTCAAGTTCGACCATCATTATGGAATCTCAGGTCTTGCTCATGTACAGTCATGCCCTATGTATCACGCTGCAAAAACATCCAAAACTCCAAAATAAAGTTTCCGAAATTAAAAAAAATTGTTTGTGTTCGGAAGAATTGTTTTGTTTGAGGACGGCTGATGAAAGTAAAACATTTAATTTTATCTTAACTTTATTTAACAATTCATCATCACAGATTTTGCAGATTGTTTCCAATTTCGTAAATGTGTATATCCGAAGAGTTATTTGCCGTAATGGTTATCTTTATTATTTTTGTTTAGATCAGACGTTCAGACACCCGCAGTTTTCATGAATGTGCGCTTCCCTATCAATCAAGTAATTCCTTATTTTGGATTCCTAGTGAACTTTGTACTGCAGGAACAGTTTGATGAAAAATATGCTCATTCTCACCTTCATAGTCTAACAAGTATACATTATGTAAAACAGTATTTTACACGCTTCTACAAACCTTTCATCTCTTTTCAATCTTTTTGGAACCTTATCGTAGCAGTTGTTCCCATTTTGAAATGGTTGCCGAGGTATTCATTTATTTTGAAACGACCAATAATAATATCATAAAAAAGATATTCTATGAAACATTTTACCCATGATCTTATCGGCGGGTTAACCATAGGGATTATGCACGTCCCACAAGGTTTGATAAAAGAAAAGAAGCGTTAACTGCTTACATGAGTTTCAGGAATTGCTTATGCAAGTTTAGCAGCTCAAGAACCCGTTATAGGTTTATATACTTCTCTTTTCCCCGTTCTAACATATATGTTTTTTGGTACATCGCGTCATTGCTCCATAGGTAATAATAATTAAAGAATTTTTTGTAAACTTTTTGGAATATTCATATCACAGAAGTTGAGAGTATTTGATTGTGCTTTTACAATTCACCACATAATTTTTTTTTCTAAATCAGGTTCATTCGCAATCGTCGCTTTGATGACGGGGAACGTAGTATCAAAGTTAAAAGAAGATGTAGGGGTTTCTACTACTTCTGTAGAAATCGCTTCTGTTTTGACGTTCGAGATTGGATTGATTCAAGTATTTAACTTTTTTCCTAGATGCTATTGTCCTTCATTTTTTAGTTCTTTCTTGCTTTATTGAAATTAGATTTTGTTTGCACGTATCTTACCGACGATTTGGTTTCTGGCTTCACAACAGGGGCATCTATGCACGTCTTCGTAACACAGGTGAAAGATATTTTAGGAATTCATGGATTGCCTCGGAGAGATGGTAGTGGTAATTTGTTCATGGTATAGTTTAAATATGGTTTCTTTTTGTATTATTTTATGACAGAGACTGTTTGATCTTCTGAAAAGTTTCCATAAAATAAATAAGGCTACAACATGTCTTTCTATATTTGTATTCTGCTTCCTAATCATGGGAAAAAAAATAAATTCTTTTCGTCGAAGAAAAAAAAAAGCTCTGATGCCCATACCCTTTGATTTACTAGCTGTAAGTTAATTAAACCACTGTCTGTTCATCACTGATACTAGATTATTGTTTCAATTTTCCTTTCTCTTCTCTTCAAACTGAACTTCACTTACAACGTATCCACGGTTGGTGTGATACCGACAGGGTAAAGTTTCAAGTTAGACTACTCTCTAGATTGATTTGATAGATTCCCTCGTCCGAACTTGCCAAGGATTGAACTCTTCACGCGGTTGTTGCCTGACGCGGTTTCAATAACAGCCGTTATCATGTCTATACACATTTCTCTGGCAAAAATGTTCTCTCAAAAGTATGATTATCTCATTAATACAAATCAGGTAGTGTATTATTATCATAACTGTCGTTATTGAAACACTCCCAGGAATTTTATGCTTTGGGCTTTACATCTATAATTTCTGGATTTTTCCCAACATTTCCTAACGCATGTAGCTTAGCACGCACTATGGTTAATGGTAACGTTGGGACAAGAACTCAGGCAAGAATAGTTTCCTTAAGATTTCACTTATACTTTTGCAGCTTTCCTCAGTTTTTTCATCTGCATTAATATTTTCTATAATTGTATTCATTGGAAAATGGCTGCAACCCCTTCCCATGGTATACTTAACTGCTAGAATTCGAATATTATATTGCATTTTAGTGTGTACTTGGATGTATAATAGCTGCAGCATTACTACCAGTGTTACAAAAGTTTAAGGATTTGAGAAATATTTGGAGAGTATCCCGAATAGACTTCGTACAGATCAATAAAAAAATAACAAGTCTGATATTTAATTCATAGAGTGTTTGGATTGTAACGTTTACGGCTACAGTTTTGATAGATGTAATGATGGGCTTAGTTGTGTCTATAGTCTTTGTACTTTTAACTTCTGTCATTAGACAACAGTGGTAACTTTTCAAATTTTGTTTTTTTTCAATGTAATATTATTGAAGGCCCAGCTGGCATATACTGGGTAATGTCACAGGAACATCAGAATACAGGGATGTGCAGAGATACAAGAGTATTCATGATACAGAAGTACGTTTTCTTGCTAACCCGTAACTATTTTTTTCCTAGGACATTTGTATTTTTCGTTTTGATAGCCCACTGATATTTCTCAATTCCGAGCGGTTTTCCGAAACACTTAAATACCTATCATACAAATGCATTTTGAAAGAAGCAAATACCAAAAAAATGAATTTGGTTCAGGTTTGACCTCTGAGTTATGTCTGATATTTTCTCAAAGTTATAGAGCACAAAAATGAAGAGATCACCTTGTTTCATCATAATTGATTGTTCAGGATTTGTTTATGTGGATCGCATGGGTTTAAAAGCTCTCAAAGATGTCAGTTTGATATCACACTTAATATGGGCAACAACCTTATTACTAGATTCATCTAGAACTCAAAAAGAAGAACGTGCTGATTTATTTCGCTGCAGCAAAATGTTGATCCATTTATGTTTGGAAATTGAAGATATATATATTTAGCATGTCTACGTGAGATGTTCATCGACTCTGGTTTTCATAGAAGCATTCCTCGAACTGTTTTTTTTCCAACAGTGCATGACGCCGTGATGACAGCTAAACAGTTTAAATAGTTCTAAAGTATTTTTTCACATGTCAATTTTTAGGCAAATCGAGCGCTCCGAATATTCTTACATCTATGATTCTTCTGATGATTTACAATCATAACTGCTTCAAGTGATTTGACTTGTTTTCTTATAATGTTTACAGACCGAAGCTTCTTTAGAAAATAAAACATTCCAATTATTTTTGAATCTTATTGATCCAATAGATCAGGAATATAGCGAAGTGAAAACTATTAGCGCGCTCACCAAAACGAGAAAAATTAACTGATAGTCGACGCATGTGCAACTACACTGGTGATAAAAGCGATTAGTGTGTCAAGATAAGAGATCTGAGGTTAATATAAGCTGACTGGGAACTGATACAATAATTAATAAGAGAATGAAAATTTTGGTGTTTGGTGAGTTTGTAATTTTTTTGTGTTCTTATTGATATTATATTACAGTTGTCGTATCCTTTTTGGCAGTTAATGCCATGCCAGCTGACCTAGGTCAGGCTGATAATTGTGGAGCCAAAAAAGCAGTTAGGCAGTTCAAATTGCTTACTACTGGAGAAGGTAAATTCTTTTATTTATCCAGTGTCTAAAAACCAATACTTAGCTGCCTCTGATTTCGAGTGTGAAATGTGCCTCGATCTGGTGTTAATCTCTGAAACGTATGCTGAGTGTGGTGAAGTATATTTTATTTAACCTCTCTTTTTATAACATAATTCTGAACAAGGCTGAAGAGGAGCATAAAATGGAAAACAAATGTGACGAAAAATATTCAAAGAATCCAATTGAGGACAGAGCCTGCCGTTCAATGGTTGACAAAATTGCTCATGTAAGTAACTTTTTACCAAGCTGGTAAGCGAAATTCCTAAGAGAGCGGAATGATGTCGGAGCACGTGTTGTTGATGAAAATAAATGATAAGAAAGGAGTGAAGCAGATGATAACAATGCGCAACTATTTTATGATTTCAGGAGGCTATTGAAGATACCGAACAGGATCCTTCTGCCGTTTGCTACAAAATTATTCACAGACATTGTAGCTACAGTTCGATCTAAACTCTATAATTCTTCATAATATTTGAAACATGTAAAAACATTGAAAGCAAACTGTTTTTTTGTCAATTTTTGCCAGAAACCTTGGGATTTGTTTGATTTTTCATCATTAGCTGAAGTTTCACAGCCCGTGTTTTTATAAACTCTTCTTTCTGAACTTCAAAACGTGAAATGCAGCGTTAACCGAATGACCAACCATGAGCGAAGCTCGATAAATGACGAAGATTGTTCAATGTGCTTCTGAATATTTGAGGATCTTGATCAAGAAAAAACTGTTAAAGTAGTGTAAAGGATCAATTGAGTAGCAGTACCGCTCCTGTTTCATCCTTCATTGGTTGTTGCTGTGTTGTTAACTGACTTACAAGTAAAATGGAAAAGTGATCGTAAAGTTCATTATTTTTATCGCTCAATAAAGTACGAAGTGTAGTATCAAATCTGAAGCAGAATTTATAATATTTAAACATGAATTTGAAAACCTTTTTCCTCCAACATTCAGGTGTATTATATCATCTAAGGCATATGTTGTGTCGTTATCAAGTTGAGTAGTCATATTATGAACGCAGTTTGAGTAAAAATAATTGAAGAAAGAAATATCCACTGAATCAGTAAAACTCTTTATATAATCATTAGAAAACGATCGTTGTTCTCCTTTTAAAAACTTAATTCGTGACACTTTTGAAATACTTGAAATGTGAGCACTGTTTACCAACTACTGTGAGTTTCGACAGCAAATCTTATGCCTGTTAACGATCAAAAGAAACATCTATATGAATATGAATTGGATATGTTTATTTAATTTGACAACTTCTTATGCTCTTTCAGGACATGAACAATAACCAGCATCTGGTCCAGGTTTTCCTTCTGGTCCCTTCGATCCATTTTGTCCATTCTCTCCTCGCTTTCCTGATTGTCCGGGAAGCCCAGGATAACCAGGACGTCCTTGTTCTCCATCATGGCCATCTTCCCCATCTTTCCCAGGCTCTCCAACGGTTCCTCGATCTCCCTGCGGTCCTTGTCTTCCAACAGGACCATCTCTGTATTGTACTCCCGGTTCACCAGGAGAACCACGGGCTCCCTCGTGCCCAGATGAACCAGCTGGTCCTTGATCTCCCTGTTCTCCTTGTTCTCCACGAGCTCCAAGATTTCCTGATGGTCCACGGTTTCCTGCATGTCCAACACCCCCTTCTGGTCCAGGTGGTCCTGGTTGTCCACGTGGTCCTGGTGGGCCAGCTGGGCATTTAATACAAGCTCCACTAAACTCATGATCAACAAAGACAGCATTCCCTGATAATCCAGGAGCTCCATTCTCTCCGTCCGGTCCCGAAATTCCATCTCTGCCTGGGGCTCCTGCCGGTCCTGGTGGGCCTGCAGGACAACCCCGAGCTCTTGCTTCACAGTTGCACTGATCGCTGCTTCTTTTGTTTCTGCCAACCAATACATGGAACGATTTCACAATTTTTGTCGGTTCAGAAAGAGGATTAGAACGAGCATCCATGATATTGAGCCAGGTCTCCTCAGTTACAGCCTAGCAAAAAAAAAAAATGAAAAACCGTATAAACAGATAAGAACCTTAAACTCTTCCATTCCAACAGTTATGCCATTCTGAAGTTCATTGATATCAGTAACAATAACTCCAACAGATAACAGTGCAGTAAACGTTGCTAACAGAGCTAACGAAGAGGTAACACCTACAGCAAGAGACATTAGACCTAAAAAACTATTTTGAATATTCTTAGAACAAACTTACTATGCTTTCAGCCGTTAGTGCTTTGAAGCGCTATCAACCATCAACCTTTTATAGAGTCCTACTCATTGGATCGAATATAAACAAAAAAAGTAAAATCCAGTGAATTTAGAAGAAGTAAATGGAATCGAAACTTGATAAAGGCAACTCAAAAAACAGATGCTCGTTTTTAGAAACGTAGCGCTGCTACGTTGTTACAAAAACCAATACAGGATTTTCTTGTTTTTCTCTGATTTGAAGGGATAACATGGAAACTTTCAAAATTATAATATTGAGGAAAATAAAAATTTTGTGAAATTGAACGGAATACACCCAATAGTTAAACATTACACTAAGCGTGATCGTTATTTTTCATATTTTTCTACAAAATCAATAAAAAGATTGACAGTTTTGTTTCACCTACATGAATGTCAAACTTTCTTAAAAATGTTTTTCTCTTTTTTAATGTTTCATTTTTCTAAATCTATTTGTCGTTGCGGTCTTTTTATGTCCTCACTTCACGCAAGATTGACAAAAAACTTCAAGCCTCACGATGTTACAAAACTTTTTTTTTAGCTTCTCAAGAAACTTGACTTTCAAAGTTGAATCAACCGTTGAGCTAGCGTGAAAACTTAATGTACGGCCTGAATGCATAATAATGTTCTTTTACTAGCACAGAAAATGCATCTATAATGCAGGAACGAAAATATATCTTGTGTCTCATCGTGTCGTATAAGAAGTCGTCTATTGAGGAGACTCCTCTTCTGTTAGCACACTTCTTCCAACCATTAAGCCATGTCTATATAAACACAGCCAAATACGTTCTGTCTGTATATCGTTTTACAACCTCACTGTACCAACTTCTATTTTCCATTATATTCTAGACAAATGTGGTTTATTCCACTAGTATCAATGATTATATCTGTCAACTATGCTCGCCCTCCTTCTATTCAAGAAGTTTTTTTTAATGATATATTCAACAATACATCTTCTAATACAACTGAGCTTCCGAACCGAGTTCCGGATTATCTAGAAACAAAGGTGATTCACAACTTATATACTTCTTCCAACATAAATGAACTAAAATAGATTAATGAGGTTGCTGGGATAAGTTGTGACATGTGCATGAACGCTGTTTATGGATTAAACTACAATGTGATTAAACTGAAGGTTTGAATATTGTCAATACCGACTTACAAGCTTAAATCCATACACTCAGAAATCAGCGGAAGATATGATAAGATTGGATTGTGAAGCTCTTTTCCATGGACAATCAGATGATATTGCTCAATGTATCAGGATAATGGTTGAAAAAATAGAGCATTACTATGATAAAGTACTTTTGATCAAAGTTCTTCAATAAACTTAAGGTTTTAGGTTGAACCCATGATTGAGACTCGAAAAGTTTGCGTTCTACTAAAGATGTGTGCTGAAGAAGAAAATAACAAGAATATAAAAAACCAACAGAATTAATTTTTAAGGTTTCTCGATTATCTCATCTTAGATATCTTTAGCTAGTGTTGTTGATAATAATTAATTATGGATAATGAACATTTTCGTATACAAAAGAAAAACATAAAAAACAAAATAAAAGCATATCAATCCAATAGCTAAATTTATTAATCTTCATACGTGTTTTGTACTGAATTTCCTCTAATGTTAATGAATCAATTTGGAAGCCCAGATATGTACTCTTTATATTTTTTTGATTTTTTCTAAATGTGAACGCAACCGCACGCGCGCCAAGCGCCTCTGGAATTGCGGACACCATTGGGACTATTGGCTCAGGCGTGTTACTATTTTGTACCTAAATTTGTTCAGAATCATCTCTCTTCGTTTGGAATGCGTGATCACGATGGTGGTAAAGAGAAAAGCAGGTAAAATACTGTGTTCACAATATGTATACACTTTTCTTTTGTAACGCACAGGAGTGAAAAGCGAGAATCAAATAAGGTAACGCACTGTTTGTTTTACATCTGAGTTATTCGTATATTGTTATAGCCGACTTCCGAAGACTTCAAGAACCGTATAAGAAAACAATTCGATTTTGCAGTGAGCTCTTCCGCGTCTGCAAGTGACCACAGTAACAAACACGGTTTGTTCAATCGTGCTAGTAGCTCAACATGAGACAGTTCAGAAAATGAAGAGTACTTGACGCCCTCACAGAAACAGCAAAGAATGCGCCAGTTGGAGATGATTGGAGAGGGCAATTTTCGTCAGCAGAGCTTCAGCTCCTCCTTGGGCAAAAGACAACAGAAATCGGTACCCATTTTATCTGGATGTTGGTCCATGTAAAAAACATTCAGAAAGAGCAAGTAAGCAGAAGTGAAAGAATTTCTAACTTGGATGAGGAACGTGATAGAATGTTGTTCGGACCTGCAACAAAGCCTTTATTGAATTCACTACCTGAACAAATTGGAGAATCAAAACATGGTCTGACTTGCTTACCTAAAGAAGCATCCTTCCTTATACACCCTAGCGTAACATCAAATCTGTGAATATATGTGATTACTTTTTTTCCCAGGTTCTGATCGATGGAGCAATCAAAGAACGAACCTGGAAAAACCTTTGGCTTGAGCAGAGAAGAAATCTTGGTTATTAAAGTATTCGTCTAGTATTATATACAACCGAGTTAAATAAAACATTTTATTCACGATAGATACAATTTTTTATTGTGCGAAGAAACTATGACAGGCCGTAATTAATTGTATAGCTGATTAAACAATGGCCACAAATGTTAATGAGTTTAGTGGATATAAGTAGCTGATTACTTTTATTTTTTCAGCTTCTTCGCTGCCTTGACGAGAAGCCTAGCCTTCTCTTCATTCAAGTTCCTGAGCTCAGTGTCTAAATGCTGGAGATCATATTTCATCTGATCTTCTATTTCGCGGTGTTTTATATTCAACTGGATAAAGAAATAAAACATAAAACAGACAAGAAGCTAATAATTACCGTCTCTTCCTTTTGACGCAATTCGGCTTCTTTAGATTCTAGCCGTTTTTGATAATCCTCACGAAGCTTCTGTTCACGGCGAGCAATGTCATCATTATACTCCTTTTGTTTCTAAATGAAGGTAGGAACAGTTAAGGTAGAAGTACACTCACCACTGTGAAAGCTTCAATAATTTTGGGTCCAGAATCAGCTTCCCCCATCCGCATTGATCTGAGTCTCTCTTTTCGGTAATTTTCATAAAGAACCTTGAAAGAAAAATTGAAAGGCACAAACTGTTCAGCATACATTATGAGTTCTTTCGCGCATAGCATCAACATTCGTGCGTAATAAAGCTTCTCTAAGTTTTACAAAATCACAATGTTGTTCATTTTCCACTGAAAAAAAAAATCAAACATCAAAAGCTTTTTGGGATACCTTCAACGATTCCCCACGGGTATTTTCGAGCTCTGACTGAAACTCCGTTTTCTTTTTTAATGAAATCCCCACTACCAACAACAGCGAAAGGTAATGCTGCATTCATGGAAGTATTTACTTGGCTAACCTTAGAAAAAAAAACAATCATAAGCAGATGCATAAGCTTACAGTTTCATCATCCGTGGGGAACTGATAAATTTCAATTTTATGATTACGCAACTCGCTCATTATCTACAAAAAATATATCTCTATAAACCATCATAATTTTACCTTCTGTTTGAAGCGCATCAATTCATCTTTACAGGTTGTATCTGACTTAGCAATTACAGGGATAACGTTGACACGCTTTGCGAGTTCACGGAGGGTGACCAAGTCAAGTGCTTTCAGTCTAACAAAAAGAAATCGAGAAACTCATTGAGACAAAAAATATGGAACATTGAAAATGGCGTACAGTACACTTACCCATGACCAGTAGGCGAGATGAAATACAAGCATGCATGAATACGAGAATCATCGAAAAACCTGAACAGATTTCGTCGAACCTAAACCCGTTAGTGATTTTCTTTGCGACAATAAAAAAACCTTAAGTTCTTCTTGAAGATATTTCTCAAATTGTAGTTCCAGATTATCAACAATTACTCTGGCACTAAAGCAGAAATAATAGAAAATTGATCAAATATGCATACCTTTTTTCTTTGTCTAGTTGGTCTCCAAAACCAGCAGTCTCTACCAATCTTAACTTTACTCTAATTCCGCCTTCAGATACATCTAAAAAAAAATATTCCGACAACCACTTTTTATCATTACCATATGTTTTACTGCGAAGCTCGACAGTTTTTAGCTCATGATTGCATGGCTCAAAATCTAACTTCATATTGAAGAGAGACTCAATCAAAGTTGTTTTTCCCATTCCGGTCTCTCCAACACACATCAAATTGAATTGAAAACTTAAAGAAAGAAACTATAATTTGCGTAACCATACTCACCCTGCTTCAACTGATTTTTTCACTAACTGATGAGGTAGAGAATCAAATCCAACATGTCCGTTCAATTCTAAAGTTCTTCCCGTTTTTTCTTCCTTCTCCGATTTAGTTCTTCCACTTATCGGTACTGGTGGAGGAGCCTAAAGCAATAGGATTCGTGTTGCAAATTCATAGTGCTTACGACATGTGGTTTGCGTTGGTCTACTTCGATCATTATCCTCCTTAGACAACCTTGGATGGTGCAGGAAAAAGCTAAAAAGTTTCAGTAAATTAAAGTACACACAGCGTTTCATATAGCATGGTTAGGTACTCTACATCTAACAGAGATTTGAAATTCAAAATAAAAGCTTTAGCGCGCATTTGCAGTAGAGCGCGTTTTCAAATAATTTTTACTTAATGTCTCGGAAAAGTTCATTCTACTTCAAGCTATTTACCTAACAAAACAGTTTAATTTCTTATCTAATCTTGGTTGTTATGTGACGTATATTAATATCCTTCCTTAATTAAATGCAAGAGGCTTATTGCTTCCATACTTCGATTATCTTGGCTAATCGAGAAAAAAATCATGTTCCTCATAGGAGTATCTCTACGTTTTTATGCTTTTTGATCTGTTGTAAGGTTACGGACATATTGATGGAACCCCGTTACTGATTGTGTTTCATTCTATTGCAAACGGTAAATCCTCAGCTAATTGTGCGAAATCTTTATGTTGCAGACGGCAAACAATTAGCTGCCATTGAATAATTCCTGACAATGTCCCACGCAGGTCCACAATCAGAATAACTGCCTTCAAACAAAAATTGGAGAATAAAATGACTATTATAGACTGAGTGTAATATTAGTATGCCGTTCATTTTGTGTTCATGCAATTTTGGCTCTTTGAGGTTAAAAGTATATGAATGTAACATATAACGAACAAGTGTTGGTAATCATTCATAGCGGTTTTCATAAAGGTAGCAAGAGCCAAATCATTTGCTTTCAAAGTATGAATTTATTCTGAAAACATTTACAATAATGTGTGTAAGCCTCCTCTACCCCAAACCAAGAGTTATCCTCATTTTTGAGAAAATTACAGATAAATCTTAATAGACTCATCATGAACTTACTCATCAGTGTAAGAAGATTAATAATTTGTCTTTTTAGCAAACTCGTCTTTTCATGATATTCTTGCTATTTAATAAGATCACGACCATGTTAAGTGCTAGTTACAAGGACAGTTCATCAACTGAGGTCTCAAGATGGCTCATTAATAAATTTTTGCTGGCACCATATAACTAATGTGACTTTGACTGACAATAACATCATGTTTCTTATTAGATTTTTATTATATTTCATGTTTGTTTGCTGGTCTTCGTACATTTATCGTAATGCTTTGGAAAACATATTGGATTTGTTCTACTGTAGCCAATCAGGATGACAATAGGGAATTGTAATATGAAAGAATTGATGATAACAGAGACGTTATTTCATGAGTTTGGAATGAATATTCGGGTTTTGGATACAAATTGTATCAATTTCTTGTATTGGATGGCAAAGTCTCCTGGGAGAGTTGGCAGTTGGGGTCACGAAAAGCTTAGAAACTTGCAGTGTATTACCGTAATCATTATCTTTTCCAGTAGTAGGAAAACGAGCCCCCAAGATATATAAGTATGAAACCCAAGGTAACATCACAATAGGTTATGACTTTTGATTGATTGAAAGACGTTTGTCAACTTATTAACTACATTTTACTCGGGGGCATGAGCGCTGATTTGATGCAAGACTGTGAGCGGCCCGTCTATTTAAGGTGTTGTTTCCGATTTTCATATCATGACATACTCACTGCCGGTAGCAATATGTAGTTTCTTTGAGAGTTTTCAAACTATTCATTGTGAAGAAGAACAGAAGAATTTGAAGAGCCATTCCAAAAGAGAACACAATTAGATTTTTAAATATTAAAGCTGTTTTGCCTTCAAATTTTCGTTTAGGAAGGCAATGACATATCGTTATCCTACTAAGTTTCGATATTGTTTTACTGTTTCCTTTTCTATACGAGGAAGCACAGAACTATTAATGTTACTCATTAAAGTATCTTAATCGTTACTGTTGCTAGTTTTGCAGTTTGGTCCATGGTTCATACAGGTAACACCTTGATGAATATCAATTACGTATGTTAAAGGTCAGAGCTACTTGATCATTATGCAATATTTATATAATAAATGAATATGAGTTGACAGTAGGATATGACTATGCGTAGCAAGTGGTATTATAAGTGTTAAAATGTTATGTAAATATCATAATTAGCAGTTCATTTTTGATAACAATTAAGTAATTTTCGAATAAAGACCTCCGATTCTTGTTCATCTAGCTGCACCCCTTCTTATAAGGCTGTTTAGAGTCCTTTTCCTGAATAGGCAACAACCCAGTTTCTCACTTGAACAAAGTGGATTATATGCAGCTGATTGAACGCCAAATTTGCGGCAGCTAAGCCCGGAGAGCAGCTCACGCCTCGATGATTGGCCTCCTTATTTTAGTCTCTCATAATAATCTCTTAAAGAAGGCATTGATCCACAATGTCATAGAGGCCACTTCCAACTTTTTCAACGTGTAATAATGGTTTTTTTGAACATATCGGTTCATTATAAAAAAACCCGACTGATGAGTGAAATGAGTTCAGCAAGTACTTGAATGAACGACTTTGTTTGCGAGATTTAGTTCACAACAAACACAAACTCACAAAGCGGTTGTTCATCGCGAGGAGAATAATATCAAAACGTTTCTTTTCATATGAAAGAAATCTGAACGGAAATATTTGTCAGATTCCTTGCTCCGGAAGAGTCAGAAGATGGCTGATCGTTCTGATCAAATAGAAAATGACTAAGAAACATTGATACAAAAGATTCGCCGAAATCTGTATGTCTCTCTTATCACCTTTCATCGTTTTCTCGCACCATTTTTCGATTTCTTTCATTGAGATAGAAAGATATAAACTTTGTGAAAGCTGTTTGATTTGTAATAATAGCTTTCATTTTCAAACATTTCACATTTGAAACTCTTGTTAATTTTTTGAAGATATGTTTCACTACAGAGATAGGAGGACAGCCCATCTATCTCTTGTATCATATTTTAAAGGAGATTCTGAAACAAAACTTTCAATTCCACTACTTTCGTTTTTAGTTTTTCACACAGAATAAAAATTTAATTTTCATTCAAGAAGCTTCTCAAAGAAAAAATTTTATCATTTAGCACATCGATATATTATTGAAAATTGTAAACAAAAAACCTTTTATTGGAATAGAGAAAGGAAAGAAAAGAAAATAATAAATCCTTTATTCCATGAAAAATCCGACAATGATTCATCTTTTCATTCCATAATTTTCTTTAATACTTGTTATAGAAGGTAGAGACTTTGCTCCATTTTCTTATTTGACAGATCATATGCTACCGTTTGCTTATGGCTTCTTATCATTCATTATATATACCATAATTACCGTAGTCTCATGTTCTGGTCTGTCTCTTTTTATTTTTTCTCCTCTCTCCCTCTACAGCTACAAACACGATGAACGGCAGGCCACGCCTTCTTTGACGCGTAGGACCGCCTCTCCACCAAGCTCAGTATCATGTTAGCCAAACCTCATTCTACGTTCAACCATACTTACAAATGAAAAAAGTGTCGAACGTTGTCTTTTCTTTCTCAATCACTCACCATTGTTTTTCCAAGTAATGTTCGGTGTTATCTTTCTCCCCAATGGAAAAGTAAAATCATTTTTGCTGATGTGTCAAACTTTTGACCATTTCGAAATTTAACATTCTAATCTTCTTCTCTGATAAAGATTGACCATAACAAAGTAGTTCGCAGCCATGCTCGGGAACGACAAGTACTCTAGTTGCATTCTCCCTTATAATTTTTTGTGTCACTTTCTTCAAAAGTTGCTTTCTCAACTTATTCTTCTACCAGCCTGTCTAAAATGATTTTGTTCAATGCTTTTCGTTTTATTTCATTTTAGAAAACCCTTATCTCTCATTTTTCATTCAATAAATTTGATATCTTCATTTGTCCGAGCAAACCGTTCTTTATTCGTCTCGGTTTAGAATTGTTCAAGCTTCTTATTTTCAGCCTTCGTAGCTAGCCAGATACCTTTTTTTCATCGTTTTCGTTTATATTCATATGAGCTTTTTTTTATAGTGCATTATGAACGATTTATCAGTCTTATATCCTACCATAATAACTTCGGAAGCTTCTCCAAAGCTAATTGATGACGATGATACCGCTTCTGTATCGTCAGGAATGTCTCCTGTTCATTCACCACACGACTCCAAATCTCCTTCTGATTCTCATGTGAAACGGCCCATGAATGCTTTCATGGTTTGGAGTCGGGGACAAAGAAGGAAAATGGCTCAGGTTAGTTTTCTTGTGAACGTTCTGAAATTTCAAGTTACCTTCAACATTTCATTTAACTTTCAATAATTATAGGATAATCCTAAAATGCACAATTCGGAAATTAGCAAAAGGTTGGGAGCTGAGTGGAAGCAACTGTCAGAAAAAGACAAGCGTCCGTTCATTGACGAAGCCAAGCGATTACGTCAACTTCACATGAAAGTCGGTTGATTACGAAGATGTTTATTCACTTGTTTGGCATAATTTTAGGAGCATCCAGATTACAAATATCGTCCACGTAGAAAACCAAAACCGATTGTGAAACAGCAATCACGCCTACCACTGGGCATTCCATTAACACCCTTTGCAACACCTACATTATTTGCGAGCTATTCACAGCTGGATCAGCTTAAAACACCGGATCTTTCAAGTTATTATTCATCTTTCTTTCCAAATCCAGTGCTATCCGCCGCCACATACACTCCTTATAATGTGATGGCAGCTTATGCTCGACAAGCAGCTGCTGTTGCTGCTGTTAGTCAAATCACACCGGCACCTGCTCCTCCAACCAATGTTTAAGGAAGTTTATAGGTATGTTTGGTTAATTTTCTTGAATTGAATATTACAATCAGCTTCGCTTCCTCGGTTAGCGAATTTTGTTTCCTCAAACGCACTTGTCTTTCAATGAGTTCTATAGAAAAATCTAATCAATTGTGTGAATGGCTTGAACCTCCCTGCTGACTTTTGAAACAAAATTTAGAAACAACAATTTGTTCTACTCTTTCATCTTTTTTACCATTTTTCTTGTTTTCCTCCAGTTTTGGACAGGGAGACTATCCCAAAGCAAACAGTTTTCTAACTTCATCATCCTCCAATCCGCTATCGTCGTCATCATTACACATACACGACCACGTAAATCAGGCTGAAGCCATGTATGATTCATGGATGGTCTTTGTCTCGTATTTATTCAAAGTATTCTCGGCATCACAAACTTTTTTTTCCATTTCCTTTTCTGGCCAAGCTGTTCCAGTTTTCACTTGAAAAGTTTTCTCCAGTAAATAACTTGTTTCACCTCTACAATAGCTATGGCAATTGTTGTTTTTTCATGTGATTTGCTTGTCTAATTTTTTTCTCATACTCTGCTGGCCTCCTGTCGGTTAGATTATCAAAACTGAAAGAATTGTTGTGTTGTGTCATCACTACCTACTACTGTAATTAAAGAAATCTTCATTCTACATTAGGTTATATGTTTCTATTCCTCTTTGAAATGGGCAACCGTATCATATAAGGCTTGTCCTGATCGTTACATTCATAAATTTCTGTACAAACACGATATTTCAACAGCTCATATTTCTTGACTTCAATCCACTTTTTGTGCTCAGAACCCTTCCTGACAGACTGAATGTTCTATTGTCTCTATGTTTACCTACCCCGATCTAGAATTCACAATCTTTTTGTTCCATTTCTCTGAATTTCCACATCTTCCGCAATTCGATTAACACGGCTTTCGAAGTCTGAACTAGAGGGAAATCATAGTCTTTTTTTATCATACTCGAACACAGTAGTAAGGTCGAATATTCATCATTAACCGAACACGTTAGAGCTCTCAGTTTGAACTTATGTTAATAAAACTAGAAAATGATGTTTTAGAACAAACAAAAAACTTTATTTCAGATGTCAAGTCCATCATCTGTAGCCGACGCACAGATCATATGCATACGAGTTGAAACAATCAGAAATTTTATACTCTCAGTTCATCCTTTTAGTTCTTTTTTTGGATAAAACTATCTGAAATAAAATGATCTCCCTTCTGTATCCAAAAGTTTTGTACATTTTAAACTTTTCATTCCTCAAAATGTCTGATGCAATAAGATGTTCATTTATTTGATGTTGTGTTTATTATGTGTTATTACTTAACTATGACCCAAACTAAATATAAAGTATCTCCGGTCAACTTATGGCTAAACTTGGCAATTCTTTTAATGGAAAAAAATATGAAAACCTCATTTTGTTCCTTCTTGGTCATTGAATTGTCAACGAAATTTTTTTAAGTATATATATTTAGTCATTATTGCCATACCTTTGAACTCAAGTTTCAAAAAGAAAAATATAAATAAAAGATCTTTAAATATTTGTTTTTTTTGGTGGATAATTAATCGTTTTATCCTCTCAAGATAATACAAAGACAATTTTGTGCATATAAGCGCTTTTTCTTTGATTGTGTCGGCTGAAACTGCACCCTTCTACTTGTTCTGAACAAATATATTATTTGATGATGAAGTGACAATAACAAGAAATACATCCATCATTCAGCTATTTAATAACCTCTGCTCCCTCCAACAAAATGTTCAAAGAACTTGATGGCGTCATGTCATCTTTAATGAAAAATGAAAACCACGCAGTTATAAGCACTTAATAAGTAGCGCTTGGACATCAACCATCTGTCAACTAGTTAACTCGATTTTCACTCTTCTTTTCATCCGTTTTGTTCTTATTCCTATTGAGACGAGTAACCATTCAAGGCCTTCTTTGTCTTCGCTTATACTGCCATCCACAAACACATAATCCACCTATTCAGTCTGTTCAACTATCTTATTGTTCCTTCGTTTACAATCCGACAAAAACTAAGAATTCGCAAGTTCTCTTTAAAAAGAGGCACAGATTAACAAGCAAAAAGATCTATGGAAGGAACGATAACGACTATTCTGGTAAAGTATTTTATGCAAAAATTTTTAGTTCAATTGTGAACTGTTACGTCAATTATAATACTAATTTTCATGAAGCGGGCTTGTAAAACTGATAACCTAAAAAAAAATTTAATAAACCTTTCTTTCACATAATTTCAACCGGCCTTTGAAACCCTTATTCCAATATATAGAATGATCAGGTGTGTCAACTTTGCAGAATAGGCTATATTTCTTGAAAATCGACAAAGGCCTTATTGCCAAAAGAAAAACGAATAAATATGTAGGCATAGAAGTTCTGGACAAAGAGGTGAATGATAGTTCAAACAAAGTTTGATCCGGTACACCACTTCCTGACAATCAAAAAGACCGGCCATTGCGCCATGTTAGCGTTTCGCTATAGGAAGTCGGATTACGGTAAGATGGTAATTCGGAGTATCTACGATATCAGAGCCAAGCGGTAGCGTTGAGTAGCAATATAAGTAATTATATAAACAAAACTTTTTGTAGTTCCACACTCCTATACAAATCTATATGGATAGGCGTGATGATGTTGTTACATAGGTTACAAGTGACATCCTAGAACGTTTAGTCTTCTAAATGGGATAAGTTCTTGAATATTTCTACAAAAATTTGAAGAAAGACAGGATAAGCAATTCACTTTCACGCTTTAGAAAGGCATTGAATCGGACATTACGCAGACCTTTTAAAGCAAACAAGGAGCGTTAGATGGATATTAATACGCTTCAACGCTTACCTCATTGCAAAACCAAAGGACTGCTATAACAGCAATAACAATGTTATTTTAATATTACCAAACATGAGATTTAAATGAATTAGAAGGGAGAACATTTACCTTGTTGCAACTCTTATTGTTGTCTGTATTGAAATTCATTGACAATCGTCTAATATAGTCAAGGATGGCCTCAACAATAGTTAGTTCACAGATGAATTTTCTTCAAAGAAAATGACGTTAATGAGTAGAAAACGTTTTGACACACATGCTAACTGGCAGTTGAAGATGATGTTGATGAGAATGAATCAAAAGAAAAAAAAATAACCTCTAACATCACTCTTGTCTCCTCTCTTTTGTTCAACAATTCTTCTGAAAAAACATATTGTACTCTCTTTAGGCGAATTAAAAAGAAATACTTATAGCAATTCACCTTTTCAGCACAAAGATGTAGACGTTTCCTGATGAAATATATAATTTTATAATGCGAAATGTTCTGAAACACTTCAAAAGTCTAACTTGTGTGCTTAACTAATGAATGTTGTTCCGCGGTATAGCTATCTTAATGAGTCGTACATCCATTAAGTTCTTTGAAAAGAAGACTTCTCTCTCACTCTCTCTTTCTTCTTGCATTGTTGAGAGCTACCGTACTTCGTGATTGAAAGCTATCAAATGATATGTTTCTAAAAGATCATTATGTTACTATTCATAATTTTGGGAACATATATGAATTGAACAAACGTCATAGATGTTCACGAATGTATAAGGTATAATGATAATATTCAGTTATTCTATAAGTGTCGGTTGTTTAAAAGAGACCGAACATTGAAACAATTTAATGAATGATCGCATTGATACACCTCAACATACAAAAATAGTATTCATATCTGATTTCAGATCCATACTTATTATTACGTTCCCACAAACTGTGTGTTTTACATGTACAAGGTCGTCAAACTATCCCAGAAATGTATTCCTTTCATCTTTCCTCCTCTTAGCCATATTCTTCCGGTTATCACGCTCATTAAGGGAGAAAAATAGCTCACTCAACTGAACTTCTAACTTTCTATCATACAATCTAGACCAGCTTCGACGGTTATAAATCACATGTATTTAACAGACTGTCAGCAGGTTGACTGTGTCTGAAACTTGGCAGTACACAATCAAAAGGCATCTTTTCAAAAACATCATGTGAGGCAGCTAGAAGATAAATAGACAGCAAATGGTCCGTAATCTAGACGAAAACGGAAAACGTCTAACATTTTTTGTTCCAATATTCTTATGAAAAGAAAACCATCCGCTAGAATAAACTTTGAACAATCATTGTGTAAGGATATCATCAATACAAAGAAAATGCAACTTGGTCTTTTCGCCTCATATATTTTATTTCGTTTATAATTGACAAAACATAGGAAAATGTCAACTCAATAAGAAAAGAAGTTCAGTTTAAATTGCGTAACGTCGGTTTCTTAGAAACTAAGTCACACTTCAAGCTAAATTAAAGGCTTGATTGTTTGCATAGGTCCTAAAATTATAAGCAAATGTATGAGGTGACAAGCGGTAACCATTGATTGTTGGAAAGGTTTTCCTCTTACTCCTCATATGCAAACCATAAAAGGTTTCATTTTCTCGCAAATTCGGTATGAAATAAGCATGAATAAACTACATGAAACATCTGTTGATTGACTAGAAGTAGGACCGAGGGCTCTTGAAGGAAGTTAACGCACTGCAAAAATCTCAATTTCATCAGATCAGTAGTTAATAATTTATATTATTACATTTCCTTCATCAAAAGAACGAGGAATAAATTTCTAAATTAGTGATCTGTGGTATCAAACCCTTGTATTGGATGAATAACAAAAGCAGTATGCTTTGAAGATCTTCTTTGAACTATTTTTATTCTGTCGCATCATCCAGCAGTTGTTGGCGTAGTCTCCCCTTTTTGAATAATAAGGACTCAAAAGGTTCATTTAGTGGGAAAAGCAGTGAAACAAGGAAATGACATTTGAGTGAATATGAAAATTTGAATTACAAAAGCTACTAAAACAGAAAATAGTCACAGACTCACCAAAAGAAGCCAGACTATGCTACAAGGGACGTTTATTCTAATTTTATGTGAAAGTGATGTCACTAGATAAGTTTCACTGGCACTATACATCGCCTTTTCTTCCGCGAAATCTCGATCTCATATCTATCATGGATTTTTTACAGTCTGTGAAGTTTTGAAGAAGTTGGAAACATTTTTCATGGACTGAACCGTCATGAAGGTTGATACAATCTTTAGCAGATCTGTAACGTAATACTATATACAAAAAAAAACATTGAAAGAAACTTCGCTTGAACTTGGACACAATCGGATTCTTTCAAACATTTCTTAAGGGCTTGCCGCAAACGGTCACAAGCTACGCCAGTGGATTTCATTTTATTTAGCTCATCATCTTCGTACGTATATTGAGCAGAATGGTTTAAAGAAGCCATAACACCTGAACACAGCAGATTCTTAACCCCTCTCTTTTCTTCTCAGAACTATGCAACTTTCAAGTATGGAATCAAGTTTGATGAATATGAATGAAAATTCTTAGGACAAAAAAACTGTTTTGAAAAAGCTTTATAACCTCATCGTACTCAACAACGACTACTTAGTAGTTGAAAACAAATTGCTAAACATAAAATACATAAGCAGATAATAAATTCATCTGTTTAAAGCCGAAAGAAAAGCGAAAACTTCTAAACAAAACCAAAGTTTTTAGCCTTGATTGCTAGTAGGAGTTTGTTCTTGAGAATTTTTCTTGTTGAATATAAAGGCACATAGAGTCGAGATATACAAGTATTGGCTGTTGGCAAATATAAATCATCAGGAGGCCTGATCATGACTGTTGGGTAAGGATAGAGTGAAGATGGAGGAAGAGAAGGAGCACCGGTCCAGAAAAAAAGTAGATCCTTAAGGATTATTTTGAGATCTATCAATTGAACTACAAAACTCACTTGTTTCTCTTGATTAGATAATGATTCAAAAACTGACCAGAACCAATCTTTGAACTTATCTATGGTATCAGAAGAGGAATGAGACTCATCAGAGAACGATGTCCTGTATTGTAATGTTGTTATACAAATCTGAAATATTAGGAAAAAATATTTGATGATAAACATGAGGAAACCGTGTCACTGCCGCAAATCATCAATCTCATATCTTCAGCATTCAAAACACGCAATGCTTCAACCGGTAAAACATCATGAACTCCTTGCTTTATCGCCTGCAATATTTACTTTCAGCAATAACAAAGAAAGATCATATAGTATATACGTTTAAACACTTCAAATTATCAGGTCCTGACAGTCTCGAAGAGATCAAACGATGAACGTATTCAACAACATTATCCTTGGTGACCGGAATATCCTCACCATTCAACTTGAGAGGTGTCGTTTTAATCTGTATAATTCTACAATATGGAGAACACTTTGAAACTAACAGATATTCCATCAGTTGCTTCATCCAAAAACCTCAGGGAAAGTGGATCGAAATCCTCCTCCCTAGACAGTAAAACTTGCCGTAAGCTATTGAATAACTAAACACAGAAAGTCAATTGAAGTGAAGTTTAATCTCACCTGAAGATCGTAAAACTGCAGATCCAGCCACCCGATTGGGCGATCTAAGATGAATTTGAAAATATGACGGCATAACTTGATCGGAAATAATTCTCCTTGGGCCAGACATAGCCCCATTACTCTGTTTATGATTGGCTTTGAATTTAGGATGAAATAACATTTCATACCTGCCTACGTTTCGGAAGGCGTTTAATCTCATGGGTGAAAGATTTCCTGGGAATGGTATTACAAAACTAGAAGTTTTAGAACTCCTAACGAAAAGAGGAAAATTGTCAGTTTGACTTGTATCAGGAGAGCCCAGAAGTTCAAGATCGCTAGGAGCCGTTGATTGTTGTAGAAGCGTGAGTGCTTCATCAATATAATTGCTGAAACACTGAGATTAGGAGCATCATAAGGAATTGCATACTGTAAACAATCCATGTTGTTAATGATTTGTACTACTCCACTCATAGGAATATCTAAGATCATTCCGGTAATTCTCCCTGACGCGGAAGGTTTGATCTCATTTACCCTGGAAGAATTATGTAAGCTATGTTGCTTTTCCAGAATCAAACTACCTGCAGAATATATATTCACAAAGAAAATCTACATCTCGAGGTGATTTCTTAGCATCTTCTTGATCAATCCGGAAAACATTATTTGATATTCTCGGTTCTACTTTAGATGTATCTTGAACAACGTAAGGTGGCGATGTAAGGCTCATTGGATGAATCCTGAGATGTTAAAAAATTTCCAAATATGTTGAGTGAGCTCACTTTATATCTTTAGAGAGGGGGCGAGTCGTATTTGCCGGGGAGTTCCGCGGTGCTGATAACCGGGTTGATCTTTCTCTTGTAGCTTAAAAGTTCATGATGATACTGATAATTCAAAGACATTTTACGATGATTGGTGTTAGAAGTTGGTGCTGGGCTTTCCTCGGGATTTCCAAAAAGATAATCCTCCCCTTCCCATCCGAAGTCTTCGAACGGAAAAACTTTGCTAGTTTGCAGAGCCTCAGCTAAAGCAGTATAGAAGCTCCTCGCCACTCCTGATCCCTCTCCGGGTTCATCTTGGAAACGAACTTTAACCTGTGCCAAAACATAACTCGGAATTTATTAAAAGACAAACTCTTGGATATCCTAATGTAGTTCTGGTGTTATCTCTACCCTTAAACATGACCGAGCGACGCACATAGACCTTATTAAGCTGGTAAACTGTTCCTCGAATAAGTTGTAACGGTTCTCGATTTACCTTCAAAAGCAAAATAGCAACGTTGAAATACGATTCTTACGTCAATCACGATATCTTTTGACTGGGAATTTCTACATTTCTCCAGAGTGGAACGAAACATTTTTTGCTTCACAGAGAAACTTGCAACGTGGAGAAGCAAAGGACTGTCGCCAGGATCACCTCCATAGGAGTCAAGAAGAAGCTGATGGCACTCCTAAAAAGACGGGATATTCATAAATAAATCGAAAAGGATTACCTTTGCCATAAAAACCATTACGTGTTTCCATCGAGACAGTGCTTTATTTAAAGGAGTAGTCATGGCAGATTTCAAACAAGATCTTAATGATTCTACAGAACGAAGATCATTCTGAACACCAATTGAGCCTATCCTGCCTTCACGGCTCCCCGATTCGAAATAGGGAAAATCGTAAAGCGGTTCCGACAAACTCATATTCAATATAAAACGACTTCCTAGAGCCTGGGTGTTCTGAGAAAAATTAATAAAATATTTTATATAATGAAGCCCGTACCTGTTTGAACGTGTCGAAATTGGTTAAACCACGTGAAGGACCGAAAAGAGATTCTTTTTCGTTTTCGGGGACCAATAAGTAAGGCTTTTCAGCTAGTGGAATATATGACGTCCTACTGTCTAATGTATCCCAAGCACCTGAGTTCAAACCACCAGGGAAGCACAATGAATCAGATCTCTACAAATTTCAGATAGGGGAACAAGCAGAAAGACACCGACTTTGTAAAACTTCTGTACACTTAAATAATTCAAAGATGGGTGTCCCACGATGTGTGCAAACTTTTGCGATGATCTATATTTTTCAATTGCATCTTGGAATATTATATAAGCTTCCAAAACAAAGACAAGCATTCGTACATTCTTCAAGACAAATTATTTTGGATAGGAGTTTCAAGCAAACCTCTGACTCTATAGTAGGAAAATCGTCGCCAGCTTCTCTCGATTGAGCACGTATGGTGCCTATGATATAAGAAAGCGTTTCTCTTCTTAGAGCAGCAGTACTTGGATCTTCGGCAACTACGACTGGGAAAAATGGAAGATGTTACAAACAAAGAAATCTACCTTTTTCTTTTTTCACTGGTTCTTTTCTTTTATTAATTTTCGGTTTAATTTCACCAGATGAGTTTTGCAATATAGCGTTTCCAAAAAATAATTGCGACTCCATTCGGTCCATAGAGACTGAAAGCCAGCTCCAACAAGGTTCGAACAACTGTTCAACACGTTCCTGAAAAAACAAGATGAATGAATATTGAAAATTAACTTACCAGCATATCATCTACAGCTTCTTTGGGTATGTGTAGGAGAGACATGCTTTTTTCCGCATATGGATCATTCACGCAGTCAATAAAGTCGCTAACCAGTCGAACAAGGAAGGAAAACACAGTCGATAGCTGAACACCAGTCTTAAACAAAAATTTTGTTTAACATTTTCTATTCATATAGAGCAGACCAGAAGTGTCGTCGGGTGAGGTTCATCATTCTTTTTTTTGTTTCTGTTTTCTCCTTTTATCTAAATGTTGAACATCACAAGATGTTCGAAAAATTGCTGCGTTACCCTGTTTTCAATTCCGTTTTCGAAATCGTCTTCAAGTGGAAACGTTCTTCTTGTCCATTCTAAATTATTAGTTGCTGGAAACAGAGAAATTGATCGAAGCCTGAAAAATTGACTCAACTAGCAAACTGTGTCTGTCTTCTCATTAAAGCTCTAGGGCTCGGTCCTCCCGCACCGATTCTGTAGCGTCGAAGTCGTGTACCACCTGCTAATATAGGTATCTGCATTTATATAACAGGGTTTACACTACCTTCCTCTCTAGTGTCGGGCTGCTCAGCCGCTGAAGAAGTTTCTGATAATAGAACATCTCTAGTATTGTCCTGCTAAAATATTATTTTGAACAAAACAAAACAGTAAATCCAAACATCTTCTGGTGGTTCATCAGCAGATTCTGGCACCTCCGCAGCTGTAGGAGCACTGACAACAACATTACTATTTTCGTTCCTAAGCAATATAATAAAAAATAATGAATCAATTTTTACATTGAACATACCTAGCGCTTTCTTCATCCCCTTCCCCTGGAGTTTCTTCCTCATTTTCTGAAAACACAAAGTGAATACAATAAAAAGTTGAATACCATCATTGTCTGGATCTCTAATTGAAAAAGTGGTATTAGTTTCTTGTTCGTTACGCGGTGATGACGTTTCGTATGCTTGCTCTGAAATAATCATTTGAACCTGTTCGTAAGAACTGGGAAATTTACCTGTGGCTTCATCAGTCTCTTCGTCATCCAAATTATCGTCTATACCTATCAATACGTGTCCCTCCTATCAAAGTGTAAAATTATATGTATTCATAACTGTTCAAAACTTCGTCTTCGGAATCAGACTCGGAGGATGTTTCATCTGTTTCCTCCTCGGGCATCGCTTCAGATATTCCATTTTTGCGACGCGGTACAAGCGGCTCTTAAAACTCAAAACTGATAGAACATCCAACTTCAAACTGACCGGCCGTTCCAGCGGAAATATCCAGTATAGATTCTTCCATACCACTCTGACTGTTATGACGCCGAGACGATTGTCCATCATCATCACTATCACTGTCTCCGTCTGACTCTTCTTTGCGTTGTTCACTACTTCCTTTTTCGCTAGTTCTTCTGCTCGTCTGAACCCAGAATGATAGAGCAAACACTAAAAAACTGACAAACTTTTCTTCGCTTGGAAATCTTTTCTTTATTTTCTTCAGGACGAGAGAGATGAGATGTCAAATCACTCTCGCTGTTTAAAAACTTTTCTATAACTTCCATAGGATCTTGGCTAGGTGATAATCCAGCCAAAATAGAAGGCTTAAGTATTCCCATCCTGACTGGAACTAGGATTGCATCAGCAGCATAAGCAGCTTGACACAGAGAAAATGGAGCAAGGTTTTGTAGTGCTGAACGTATACGACAAACAAAACTAATAATACTGAAAAGGCAGGAATGCACACAAAAAAAATTGAACAGTTACGCTTGGTTTTTTGGCTCGTGAGATTTGTAATCATGTTTCATGAGAGAGAAAAATCCACTGATTCCCAAAGACTGTAAGTTACTACCACGTTTATCGTTTGTGCTAACTTGAATGAGAATCGAAAGTTTAAAAAAATGTGATATTTTAAGATAACCTGGACCAGGGTCAATCATCCCTCTCACAGCGACAGAAGCTGCAGTTGGAGAAACAAGTACACACAAAGTGAACAGTCGCACCAAACTTCTTGCAAAGCGTGATATGATCTTCATCAAAAGTTAGACAATAGGTATAGTTTCACGGAACTCACCTCTTCCACATTATTCTTAGAATCCCTAGCATTACCTGCCGCCGAGACCATCGAGTCGACTATCAACTTGCCCGACTGAAAAAATTGGGTTATTCCAAACAAGAAAAAAAATGCAAACCTCATCAGCACATCTAGAGAACAGAACAAATGTGAACTTATCAAGGTGGCTACAACCATGCTGTGACATGAGACCTATCGTGTCTTCCATAATGTATTCACTGAGAACAAAAATACTTATATATCATCGAAACAAGCATACCGAGGCATAACTCTCATTCCTATGCTTATCAAACTTGTAAGGACATTCCATTCACCTAAACAGACATCAAGGGCATATTTCGCAAAACGAGGCGGATCCAAATCGTGCTCCGGAGTATTAGCAGTATCACCTAACAACCATATACAAAACATTGTTCGAAATGATACCTGACGAAGTAGTGGCAGGCTTTCGACGTGAAAAATGGGACTGCTCGCTTTGTTGTCTACCATACGTTCTGGCTAGGAATAAAACTACATGTTCACCCCGGTTGTTAGTTGACTCATGGAGTTTAGTTTTTCTCAAAAGTTCGCGCAAAAGATATTCTCTCTTCTCTTGGTTACCAGCCACCTAAAATTAATATTAATGAAAGTTTCCAGTATAAGCAACGCACCAAGGCTTTACAAGCACACTTTTCCCAACAATCACAATACGCAGTAGGAGAAGTTTTTTTCAATTTGCAATCATGATTTCTATGACAAGTGAAGGCACATTCAGTACAACAACACAATGAACCGGTGAGTCCACACGTCCTGCATTCGAAGATATCCTAACCAAATAATTCACAAGAAGAAAATAACAAGTTTCACCTGGTTAATATGTTCTTCTCCAGTCCATGAGAAAGAACATGTGTCATTGTAGCATAGAAGAAATAAGGGAGAATCATCAGGCCTGCTTCCCGATGGATATATCATTCTGGTCGAAGTCAATTCGTCTTTTGGTGTCTTAAGAAAGAAAAAAATAATAGAAACTTATGTTTGTAAGATTCTTACTTTATCGATGACATCCCAAATCAAAGCAGCAGCTCCAAACGCTCTTGAATTAAGAGCTGCTTGGAAAGGTGTCAAACCATTGAAATCTCGATGAGAGAGCAACTGTACGATTATAGGTTTCAGAACAGGATGATCCAACAGAACTTTCACAACGTCGAGAGCTCCTTTCTGTCTTTCTTTTACACCTGATACAGGCTTCACAACTCCTTTTTCTATCAGAGAACATCAAATAAAAACTCATGTTTTGTTGTCTTACCTTGCTCTAACTCTACCATGGGAACATCATTCAACTCAGGATTGCGAGAAGGGGGGACTTGCTGGGTTAAGGATTGGTCTACTTCTTTGTTTGAGTTTTCGACTCTACTTTGTCTGATAAGACGCTGCCATTTCTGATCCAAATCTTTAGCTTCTTCTCTCGCCATTCGAGTCTCTCCAACAAAAAAAATTAATTGAAAGCTCCAAAAAAAAAATAGTACCTTCCTCGCGCAAACGAATACCATGAACCGTACCGCTATCAATATCTTCCTTATTCTTCTTAGCTAGTGTTAATCTTATAGCTGAATGAATTATATTAGCTCCACCATCACTCCGAACGTTTAAAGCCTCCGCATCAATCAGGTCTTTGTCTTAAATTCACAAAAAACTCAAACCAGTACAGTGAATACAAAACCTTTTAACTCATACATTCTGTCTAATATGCATTTAACCCCTTCTGCATCGCAGTAAAGAATGGTTTGCAGAAGTGAAGATAGTTGGGCTTGCAGCGCAGATACGGAGGGAGAGGACAGGAGAACGAGCGAAACTTTTTTAGACCATGTCTTAAACTATAGATTGAGAATAATCTCAAAAGCTTTCTAGAACAACCTTTGATATCCCTACACCAATTGACATATCGTTCAGACACACACATAGCGATGATTTAACGATAGGGGGTAGGTTCAAAACGACAGGCTCTTTGAATCCTCTTGCAGCATTACGAGCTAAAGGTATTATAGAACCATTTCCGTCCATTAAGAAGAGAATGAAGTCCTTGAAAGAAGTTATAATCTTATTTAATAATTTTTATCCTCACGACTCCATAGTTTAGCAGCTTAGGGAGCGCACCATTACTACCATATATTGATTGAGCGTGAATTGGCAGAAAATGCTCAGACAAGATTTTTCCACAGACCGATACTCTGGTTATATATAACTTTCCACGTTTTTCTACCAAACAACGAATACCTAAAAAAAAATTTTTTTTAATTAAAAAAAAAAGTGATCAAGAAACCGCTTGTGTCAGCAACAGCTGATAACACTCGTCGGTAAGTATTTCCGGAGATGGTGAATCGGATGGGTTCTTTCTGCAAGTTCCGAGGGCTATGTGAGCTTTTCATCTTGGGAGTCACAATACATAAGTCGTCTTTACGCATCAATCTAATCTTTCCAGGCTGAAGCGAAGGAAATTGATTGACAGTGAAATTGCGATACATACAATTTTCTCGACTTGTTCCTTTGCGTGGAGAGAGCTACTTAACGATGACGCATACTGACTATCACCCGATTGAGTTGAATATTCTATTCCACAGTAGGCCCCATCCGTGATTTTAACAACGGCACAGTCATTCGCACTCTGCTCGTGAATCCATATGACATCGCTAACGCTCCAAGGCTCCTCGCGAGGTATAGGATTCGAAGAGAATATTTCCGAGCTAGCTCGACGTTTCCGACTTTCACCTGTGGAGATAAAGGTGGATAGATACTATCACGCCTTTTTACCTGGTGCAGGAATAGAAGAAGTTCCTTCTGGTTTTACCATATCGCCAGTATCATTATCATAATAGAATGGTTCAAATACACGGAATCGACAAATTTCAGTGAGAGTCCATACGGATTCCATTAATACACCAATCTGAACATCAGGAAAAATTTATAAGGCTTTTCTGATATAACTACCGTTGCTTTATCCCCACTTATATTCAAGGCTACACTACCAGCAGCATAAATTGGACAAGATTTTGTTCTGACCTCACAACCCTCTTCTATTTCAGAAGAGGTTGTGTCAAAAGTTACATGCTTTCTAGATTTGGCACGTTCTTTCTCCCAAATCTTGGGTCTATCGTTGAAAGGATATAAGCCACTAAATCGATCAATAATTGAGTCGTTCTCGCCTCAAATACTTACCACCAATGGAACGCCTTAGAAGTTCTCACAACAACCAATAAATCACTAACACAGAGTTCAACAATGTTTTCATCCTCAGATAAGGGTAATTTGAGAGTTTTGATCTTAAAAACGGCAGAGAGTTTGGAAAACAAAAAGAAAAATACCTCGGTTGCTCGAGAAGCACGATGCCCAACAGCAGTATGTGTTAACCATGTTGCAATCTTTCCATCATTAGTAATAGCCGCAATGCGCAACACGGAAGATGCTATAGTAGTTGTAATCTCTTTTCCTGAACGAAAATATCGAGAAAAACGAAATATCAACAAAATACCAAGAAGACGGCTCGCGACTATGTTAGGTGTTTCATCTCCAAATCTACTACTCCACTCCCAAGAGTATATTTTGCCACATGCTGATAGAGCTACCACTTCTCGTTTGGTAGCCACAATTTTGATGAACCTTTGAAAGAATTATTCGGCACTTCGGTTAACGTTACCTCTCGACAGGTGCAGGCATTGCAGTACCGTCCTGATTCCACGTTTGAATGACAGAATTCAATTCTTCCCTGTTAGTTGTAGCTGGAGAAGGTAGAGGGTTAGAGTCCTTAGTTTTACGATCCTTTTCTTAATAAAACAATGAATGAAATTAGATAGACGAGCAATCACCACGTGACTTGCGAGAAGCATCTCTTAAATGCACGTAATCAAAATCAGAATACAAATCAGAAGCTTCGAGTAAATTATGACTAGACGGGTCCAATAAAGACAGTAATTCCTCAGGTAACACAACCTCATTAGTATTATCCTCCCCATCTTCTAAAACAATGTAGGTATTCAGAGAAACAGGAGAAATCAAACCATCGTCGTCATCTCGGCTCAGAAGATTATTAACAGCTTCATTTACGTTCAGGCTTGTCCTCTGCAGTTCACGAACAATCACTTCGCGAGATTTCCCTTGCAGTACAACCTAGCTCCGAAGCATAAAACGGATGTGAAAGAATTGAAACCTGAGCCTGTGCTATCAATTCTTCCGGAACCGACGAAGCCGGAATCAGCGGACGTCCTCTATCAATAATAACGCCAGCACGCTCACCTCTTCTAAGCCTGTGAGAGAATTAAAAAAAAAAGATATGAATACATACCCTGATAGCATAACCCTCCGAAACTTCGCAGCGTTTCTAACAGCACAAGCTGCCGAGCTCTGTGTCGAGCTGGCGCTCGGTACAGCCACTGGAGCTATAGAGGTGGTAGTGGAAGATGGTAATACATGTTGAACTCTAGATTGGAACCCTATCCTTCTAACGCCACCATCCTAACAGGTAGCTGTTATAGTTATTCGGCAGATAAAGTACCTCGCAGAGTATGGCAACATGGTTTGGACCTATAACACATTCCTTGATATTTGCAATGCCAAGTTCTTGGAGAGCTTCAGCAACTTGAATTCCTTTTGTGTTTCTTTCTTCGAGAATTTCTTTGAGTCTATAAAATTTGTATAAAAGCACAACCAGCGATTATCGCCGAACTTTTCTGATATTTCTTGTTCTGGATTAGACCCCGTGGTATGATTTAGTAAGATACAATGAATCGGATCATTCATAATACATTCGCTTCAAGCCTATAAAGAAAAAGGCATTTTCTGGAGATTACTCTGTGTAAGGGGTTTAGGTTTTACTATATCTGAAATATTTCTACTTTGCATAATAAAAACTGTGAAAAATAATAGCCGTTAATATTTCGCAATCTACGTTTAAACGCGAGCCTTCACTGAGTAATATTCCAAAAGTGTTATTCGCTTTGGAGCACGATATCCAAATGTTAACTTTGCAGATTAACCAATATCGGGAACTCAGATTCATTCTTTAAAAATATTGTTATGATTAATTTTTTTTCCCAGGTGTTGTCAACATAATATAAATTCTTCTCTGTAAGTTATCTTACCTTTCAGTTTGATTATTCTTGGTCTAAGTATAAGTTTCTTTTTGTGATAAAGTCTTCTTTTTTCAAGTTATTTTCTGTGGTTATTAAACCTTGTTAATTCGTTGATGCTCATGTTATACTAAAATCATCACTAGTTGACTTTTTTCCAGTTGGTTATGGGAGTAGATTTAGTTCAGAACATGCGCCCTGTGAAAGGGTTCTTGCTCGATATAACCGGTGTATTGTACAATAGCTGTGCAGGAACAGATGGGATCGCCATTTCGGGTTCAATTGAAGCTGTTAAAAGGTTTGTATTAAATAAAATTTTGTGCATTATGAAATCTTGTTCAGACTCTATAAAGAAGCTAGCGTTAAGTTTTTGAGCAACGAAAGCACTAATACAACTGAATACGTCGTATCCAAATTGAAAAGACTTGGATTTGAGTAAAAGACCAATTTTTTTCAAAAATGTATGCCATTTTTTAGAATTGAAACTGAAGATGTGATAACCCCGGCTCCTGTTGCTGCGAACTATGTGAGAATGAATAATCTACGACCGCATACATTAGTTTATCCAGGTATCTTGTTTATGGTGTCTTTCATTCTGGATTCCTCAGGTGTTTCTACTTACTTCGAAACTTTCGAAAAAAGTAACCCCACGTGTGTGGTCTTAGGAGACGCTGAACATGAGTTCACCTATCATAGTATGAATGCCGCTTTCCGTGCTCTCATGGCAATGAATGATCCTCTGCTGATAAGTTTGGGAAATGGGTAAGAAGTTAATTTTAAGCATCTCAAAATCCATGTTCAGTCGCTTTTACCAAAGAGTCGATGGACCTTGCATAGATGTAGGGGCTTTCGCTGCGGCTTTGAAGTTCTCAACTAATTGTAAGCATGTTGTGATTGGTAAACCTACCCCGGAGTATTTTCAAGCTGGGCTAGATAGCTTAGGAATGACTAAAGACGAGGTTTTGTAGATTTAGAAAAAGAAATATCAAGCTTTTAGGTCATAATGATTGGAGATGACATTGTTTCCGATGTTGGTGGGGCATTGTCTTTCGGTTTGAGAGGAGTACAGGTTCGGACAGGGAAATGGAGGTAATAATAAATTTATTTTGAAAAGTTAGTAACAACACCCAACCCAAGTTAATCTGAAAGTAACTTGTGTTTGAAAGAGGAACACTGAAAGCATTCGTGAAGTTGATTCCAACTTCATGCTATGTTGTCGTGTGCCTTGTATACTTTCTGTACATCTAAAGGTTACAAAATGGAGAGCTTCTAATAAGTTTTCTCCAAAAACAAGCGCGACAATAAAGCGAAAACTTTGTATTGAAATTAGCATCAGCAGGCGCTTCGAATGAGTCGTCTTTTTTAATTATTTGGTTAAGGTCTTGTTGGGAAAACCATGAAAGTGTCCGTCCTACTTTGATAGTAGATAACTTGAAGCAAGCTGTTGATATTTTCCTAGGGCCTGAATAATTATTTGAGATCTCTTGTGTTTCACATTGAAAACTGTATATATGCTGACTTTATTGAGATTGCAATCTCACTTCTTCATTGAATTGACCGTTTCTTCTTCATGATCCAGCCAAGCTAATTTAAATGCTTAGTGCTTTGCATAAATAACATAATATGAATGATTTTTTTATTCCATAATAGAAGTTCACACACTTGGTATTAAAATATTAAACCAGGAGTAAATTGACTAGAGATCAGAAAAATTATAGGCAAGGTTTGAGATTTCAAATGACTTGATTTGTTGGATGACCAGAACGGCAAGAGCGAAGATGTTGCCTACAGGTGACGTGTTCGAGAAAAAGTGCAGATAGTTAATGAAAAGAACAAAAAAAAAGTAAATAAATGTTGCAAAATCACCTAGTTAATAATGGAGAACAGAAAAAAACAAAGAACATAATTTTTTGACTCAAACTGTTTCGTACTAGATCTTTCGCGTTCAATAAATGCTTAACGTTCGTGCTATACTCAACAGGTATAGGCTACAGACTGCTTAAAAAAACGAATTTCGAGGATCATGAGGTTGATTATAGTCTATAATCGCTTCTAATAATAAAAATATGAAAATTTTAAGTCACACACCAACCAAAATCTTAAGGGCTTTGTTAATATAGCCCACAAATACAATGTCTTTATAATATATCTATGTGACTGAACTATGAATGACTGGGATCAGAAGCCATTTGACTGTGGAATGGCAAATGATTATGATTATGAAGCTGTTGAAGAGAAAGTAGATCATGACTTTGAGGCTTCTGCTGCATCTTGAAGCAGACTCCGTAAGCTTTTTAACTGGTCGCAAGCTTCCTCTCGGAACCTATAGAAACAGTTCAGAAAATTATATTTAAGAAAAATTAACCTGGTAACACTACTATTCATACCCGTTTGCAGTTGAACAAGAGTGTATATGGAGTTCAGTGCCATTTCAACTTGTTTCTCTAAACGCCCAACTCGACCATCTATTGCAACCACTAGCTATAATTTTTTTTTAGAGATAATTAAAGTAAGGAACAGAGTTATGTTGTTTGATATGCACCTGTTCAATTTTTGTTGATGTAGAGTTTAAAGTTTTGATTTCGCTCAGAGTGTTTCGAATGGTCGACAAGTCTGATTGAGACCAGCTAGGCTCTTCATTCTGCTCCGTTTCACTGGTTTTTCCTCCATCAGAAGAGGTGGTCGATTCTGGTGGAGGATGTCCATGGTTTATCGTCATGTGCATCGTCATTTGTTCACCTAAACACATTCTTAGTATATTTCGATGCGGAAAGAAAACAAATTAATGAAACTCGAAATTATGTTTGTTGTGCATCTCATATACACATCCCTAAGCAGATTCAACTCACCAAATACAACTGTTTCTTTACCAAAATCATTAAGATTCTCCCCCGAAAGTATATTATTGTGTACCAAAACTGAAGTTCTGCTCGTTTAATTAATGTGAGTGGGGCTTTCATGCTCTATTCTCACCCCCAGAATCCGTATTGTTCTTGAAAAATTTGGCCCTTTTATTGACTTTGATAGCTTTTGACTATCTACTGCCAGTAATCAAAAAGTCCATTTATTTTTGGTTACTTAATATTTGCTTCTTTAGCAATTACGTGTCAAAGAGTGTCTTCCTATCTCTAATTCTCTCTCCAAGACACTAGCTTGGCTGATTTCTACCAATTTCGTGCCAAACCCATCAGATATAAGCCTTCTCTGAATGATATGGCTAGAAGATTTTAATATACTCTAATCTAAACACGTCTGAAAGTCTTCTGTTTGACCATATATAGATCCACAAAATTAATTAGCATAGCTGACACTTGAATAGAAGCTGTGATAGCTTCAAACCATTCAACCAAAACGAAGTTCTTCAATGGGTATCATGATCATATGACCAGGAGATGAGCACAAAACTCTTCATTGAAATGCTCTTAACCATTGAATAATATTAAATTAAGTTGCAAATTATAGAGAATTATGAGAAATGAAAAACTGCCAATCTTGTCATACTTTTCATTCATACGTTGTAGGCAAAGGGCACATGCCCGCTCTTTGCTCATAGCTCTGCATATCATCATTTCTTAAGATCTCTTTTTGCCCATTCAAAAGCAATTTCAGACACTTTTAAAAAAAAAAGAGATAAAGACCTTGATAAAACTGAAAACAATCTATGTGTTCAAAAGTCGCTTAATATAAACATCACCGTCTAAGAATTCGTTTACTAATATTGAAAAGTTTCGTTTAGAGCTAATAGCAGAAAATGCAAGGCAACTTAACATTTACGAAATATCTATATTAGAGTTTTTTTTTAATAATCTAAACTTTGAGTTAGAATTTTTGATATGAGTATGAAATAAAATTTTTGAGTAAGCTGTCAGTACAACGAAAGCTTTATGATTCGGTCGTTAGAATTGAATTAGTTTACTGTTCCCTAGTCTTAGGAGCAGAAACAGATGCATGAGCCGTTGGCTTTCGGGTCAAGACAAGGGTACAGCTCTCTAATTATTATAGTCATATTCAATATTCATAAATGAATGCTAATTGTATACGAGGAAATCTATCATTTTCTTCCAAAAGATGAAATAAATACGGTATGAATTGATTCATTCCCCTCTAAACCTATCCTTTTCTATCAGTTAACAACTAAGTCATTTCTCTTTACTATTAAGAAGTGACAAAAACCAAATGAACCAAAACTATTCTCCGATGTCATTTACATATTAATCAAATTTTGTAAAAAACATGAAAAAAAGAGTTTTCGGAATGCTAGTCCCTCACCCGGTTCAATGTAATTCTCAAGCAACCATTCACCTCCGACATGAAGAACGAATCTCATTTGGCGCACGAAATGATTGGCCTTCAATCAGATGAGGCTTGAAAGGCACAAGAGGCAGTCAGAAGAAAGACAGAAGGAGCCGAGAGAGCAAAATATATAAAAGATTGAACGCCTATCTAAAATCCTTTTATTTTTAAAGCGCGGAAGACAATTCAGTTCTCTTCAGTCGATCGGCTTCTCCCTTATTTCGTTTTCTGTGCCCCCCCCCCCTTTTCCTTTCACAACCAATAAGAAATTGTCGGTTAGGCAACAATTGTGTGTACCTAGGCTGGAAAGATGGTGAAGCTGGTGGATAGTAGAAGCTATTTGATGTATGCACAAGCTTTCTATCTCTGTTCTCTCCTCTTTTAGTTGTTTGTAAGTCCGAGTTCTAAACCTCTCCTCCCGAGTTCTCTTCTCTAAAACCCGGGTTTTCTCGTTTCCGAATATGGTCCGATAGATAGAATTGCACACATAGTTTCAGACCATATTGAGTTGCTTCGGCTTTAGGAGGCTGAATCATTGACTAAAATTGGATACAGAAAGCTTCCACATAATCAATTTTGAGAAATGCAGTTTCTCCTTTTGAATACAGAGGAAAGAGATGGAGAGAAAGAGAAATAGGAAGACAAAAGAAAGAACGTTACCACAAAACATGTAATCACAAAATATTCAAGTGCTCGAGACAACTTCTACGAGGTTTATCAAAAATTCTTCTTTTTGAATTATATTTCAGCTTTAGCCTCACTATTGAAGCTTTCAAGAATCCCCCGAAAGATTAACTGTTCATTTATTCTTTTTACTCACGGAGACTCATGCATTTTTGTGAATTATCGAGAAAAATGTCAAATATAATTTGAGTTCCATTCAAGGTGTTTGAATGAGTAGCATTCGTTTTCCGACTACTCTTCACTTTCCTCCTCACTGCACTTGGATGGAAAACTGTCAGTTTTGAAAGCTTCTATCCTGTCTATCATTCATCAGATATATATTTGTGCTCTCAAAGCTGGAGTTTATGAGAAAATGGGACTATTCGAGGCTAAATCTGAGAGACTTCACAATAACATGACTTTGTCGTATGACTAGACAGACCATTTATAAAATTCAACAATCGATAAACTCGGATAGTCCAAGTTTTTCCGTGCTTAAATTTTTTATTCTTTTTCTCTGGAAACTTCTGTATGCCGCCTTCTGTCTCTTCTCTATTCTTTCTATTTCTTCCTTTTTTTCTCCAGCACCAAACAATACAAGCCTTTACTTTGTATTTTGATGGTCCGGCATATAAACCAATAGAATGAGTTTGTATTGCAACCCGAAGAAAAATCTTAATAATATACTACTTAAACACTCTGAAGAAGAAATTTTCAGTGTGCGTGTGGAAGAGACATAAGTATGTCATACGATTAATGAATCTATCTAGGATGATGGCATTCGGAAATAAAGAATCAGGGAATTTTGAGCAGCTTTAATGAGCTTATGAAGTGACGAACACCACTTAAATGCAATGCTAGTCAAGGATCATTTATTGTTTAAAAAAGATGATATATGTATTGACACCATAAGTGCTCATAATTTATCCTAATGGGAAATTAATGAATGTTAATTCATTAAAGCTTTGATTCATATTTCTTATTGAATATAAAATCTACAGGATTACTTCTGTAGAATCGTATTCTTCCCTCTAGAACTGTTCACAAATGTTTCTTTGAAAGTGAATCCCTCAGAGTCTAATACCATGTCATGCGGGTAGAGTTCTTGTTCCAAACAAGTGAGGCAAGATGAACAGCCTTCTCTTGCTTACTCTCTACATCCCGCAATGATGTTGTCCATTTTCCTCTTTCTCTTGACATCTCTTTGCCACGGCCTTACTTTGTGCTTTTCTCCTTTCTCAAAGATGGTTGGAAAGAAAAGAGAGTAAGCCGTGTAACTATCGGCTGGAACCCCTGAGGCGTGCTGCTGACTATTGACAGGAACAGGCATAGCAGCAGCAGAAAGCAAAGGCTCTTTCCCTCTCTCATTCTCCCTTTCTATTCTGCTCTTTTTTCGATTTCTAGTTAGTATAGTAGGCAATGGATTGACGGTCAAATGACAAAATATTCTTGAGGCACTCGTTGATGTTGATGTAAGGAGTAAAAGGTTATTAAAATACCAAGCTATCAAGAAAAATATCACCATAGTAATCTTGTACGAGCACAACTTTCTTACACAGAACTGGGATTCTAATAAAAAAAAAATTTCTTCATACACATCTTTTTTTAGCTCATAGGATAAAGTTAGGACAGATTTCAAAGGTATGTAATCTCCCTTTTTCTCCTTTCTTTTGGTTTCAAAGAGGAAACATCTCATTTCCATCTGACTTAACCTAGATTGCTCATTAGTGAATGTGAGTATCAAGCTTATGCATCATTCATAAGACTGTATTGACAATAGAATAGATTGTGAATGCGTTAAATTATCATCTCTGTGCTGTCGTTTCCATTCGCTCATTCACAACTGCATTGTTAATTGCTTGTGACAATTTGAGCATGAGAATGATACAAAATATATTCTTAGTTAATTTGAACTTCAATAAGCTTCACTCGGTAGAAATTTTGTTGAATTACTTCTCCTAGTTGATATGAGTAAGTCTCTGATTACATTCCATATTAAATTCGTCAAAATTTACAATTGAAATCACACAAAAAGATTTGAGTCCCCCGCGTCTGCTTCAATCTGTTTCTTCAGTCAGTGTCAGTGTAAGCCGTATGTCTGTGCTCTCTTATAAACCTCTATGTTTAGTACTTTTCCGCTGTGCTGCCTGTGCTCGAAGCCAAATAAGCAGATGGAACCAGCTCGAACATGAGCCAGAGACATACTGACATAATTATAAAAGAAAGAAACTTAAGAAATTGTTCTCCAACAAAAGTTTAATGGAATACGTGAGGAAATGAACGCGTAAGCGCTTTGTAAGACTCTGTATTGTCACACCAAACACAACCCCCCTTCCTCATCTCTCCCACAAATATTTTATGGTTTAATTTCCATTCATTTAGAAAAAAAACTCACGTTTTCGGAAATGTTTTCCACATATTTCACATTTTGATTTTGATGGAGTCAAATTGTTGGCGATCCGGTTCAATCGGTTAACACTGTTTAGGTTTGCAGCAACACTATTTGTGGATCCTGTCGATACGTTTGCTCCTGTTAAACTCGAAGCTGATGAGGCCGATGGAGGTGAATTGACCGAAGCGATTAAAGCAGCTAAAGAAGTTTCGCCACTTACTTTCAACTGAAAAATCTTGTTAGACTCATAACTGAACGAGATACAGTGATACCGTAACCTTCATAATGATGATTACGGTATATAAAAGAATTTTGAAAGTACGTACCATTGGGCTTCCATAAGATTGTTCGCTTTCTCCATAATCGTTTTTATATGTACTCGGTGATTCTGAAACAATGAAATATTCATGAACTTTCTCAATAAGGTCTCAAGATTCTTCTCTTGTATAGTTTTCGTGTTCTCTTCCTTTTTTGGTGTAATTAGTGGGTAACGCAGCATAACAAACATTACTTTCATGGATACAATCGTACTTTGTTGATCTTTGGCGAATGATTAAGTGCCTGATTGAATGTTTTTTCTCCAACACCTACTCTTATACTTATTGTCTTGGAACTAACAGAAAATGGGTGGTATCCTACCAAACGTGCAGCAATCACAACAGCGAATCTTCTTTTTCTTGTCGTTATTTCAAGATCCCGATCGAGCTGGGAGTTCTACTATTCTAAGCAGAGGATGCTACTAGCTGTTTGAAAAAGCTTGAGGACAACTCTTTCAATACTCCATCAGACTCTTCGGATGATTACGCTTAGAAGCCTTTCTTGCCGTTTACGGAAAGCTTTTATACAATAAGAGGAGAGAGAAGAGCACTAGATAAGCCACTAAAAATGTTTGCACTCAATGATAATTCTCATCTATCGTATGCCTGTTGATTCTCTATTTCTAGTATCATCTCTTCCTCGAATCTCTTTCTCTCTTTTTTCTTCCCCTCAATACGCTTGACTCTTTTTTTTTATCTTCTTTTGTCTCGTTGAAACTTCTCTTCTGAATTCTTTTATTGCGAAGCTTTAGTTTGTGGAACTACTCAACCCCTTCTGTCGCCTGAGGCTATTGGGGTATAGAAAAAGCCTTTTGGTATACTAGGAAACCTTGTATACACAGTGTGCAAATCGGCAATCGATGTGACCAAGGGGCACCTTCTTGCCAATTCTACTCTTGCCTGTCATTTGGTTTCTCTCTTCTATGTAGGCAAAGATATATAAAGAAATAGTTAGAATATAGAGCTCAACGGAGGAAATATTGTATAAAAGTTTGTTTGAAATAGAGAGAGAAAAAGATAGGAAGAAAATGAAGAAAAAGAAAGAAAATGAGAGGGTGAGAGACTGAGAGAAAACGAGAAAGGAGGAAAGCTCAGATCGACATATATAGCGACCGGAAACCACATTGAATTTGGTATACAAGACAGGTGAAGCTACGAAATTAGCTTTGTAAAGCACATTTCAGCAATGATCTTGAATCATATACTTTGTATTTCGCTGCTGAATTTTCCATGATATAGTTTCGCGTTCAAGCTTAATTTTGCTTCATTCTGTCCTGGACGCATCTCAACATTCAGAGGACGAAGATTCAACAGAAGCGAACATGAGCTCCATGAAAGACAGCTGAAGAGCCAAGGGACACTGGTAGTGATTTTGAACGGAGGACGAAAGATTGTATTGAACAGATTGAAACCATAGAAAAAAGATCGTTTTGATATGTTTTGGAAGAGCACATCAAGAGATATCGGAATGAGATAAGGATTGTTTTTTCTTTTCTTTTCCCAGGATAAAGTAATCAGAAACTTTACTAACCGTTTTCGGGGCTTGCGCTTGCTTCCGGGCTATCTCGAAGGTCCAGTGAGCTGTTGTAATCGAGACCAAGAGAGAATAAAATCGATCTAAGCAACAATGCACTATAAAAGCATCACATGAAAATGTTACCTTTCTTGATCTGTAGCTTCTTCTTTGGGTAATAGGCTAGGAATATCCTGGAGATTAATGACTGGTTTCTCAAACTCGAGCGGCTCCTTTGAATGAAAATAGGAATCATTACAACTCTTGTTCAAACCTTTTTTACTATAATATCATCTTTACCAATCTGGTCACTTTGCTCCTTTTTATGATGTTTTAAAATATGCTTAGTTAAGTTTCCTTAATTGATCAACATAACTTGGACTTTTCTTACTTCAACCAACCCTTTAAGCGGCTGCTCTTCCCACAGAACTTGCATACATAAGGCTTTAAAGCTGTGTGTACGGAACGATGCTCAGCTAGATTGGAACGGAAACGGAAAGCCTTGCCACATATTTCGCAGACGAATGACTGAAATCATAAAACGGTGTAATAGTGATCATCCTCATTTTTCCATTCTCTAAATTCATTCACTTGTGTGAAGGAAAAGCAGGAAATTTACTTCAATTAAAAATATGAGAGATTTATTTGAGACCCCGGGGCGATTAAGTAAATATTAATGACTGTCTTCCATTTTGATTATGACCATTCCTACTCCCATCATTATTGTCATCATCAAGCTATAAGCAGTAGCGCCCCTGGGCATCTTCTATATCGATTTTGCCATTTCCGCATACCATGTCCTCAGGCTATGTGGCTTTCTTCCCTTTTACAAACAGGACCAGAGAGAAATGAACTTTCAAGCTACAAGACATGTAACGACCGGAAAATGCTTTTATGAAAAGAAGATCCATTTGTTATTCACATTCTTCTGAGTAGCCATTTACCATTTTCAATACAGAAGCTTGAAAACACCAGCTCGTAGATATAGGCTGATCGTGCCAGATGGCCCCTTGTGTCGAGACCAATTAGTCATGTGCTCGCAGTCAAGAGATATGAGAGAGCAATAGAAATGAACAGAGAGTAAAGAAGAGGGGACAAAAGATAATACAGGCCTTTCTTATTCCGCCTCTATCTGTCTAAGTCGATTGATCTGCTCAAGCTTCGCTTCTATTAAGTTTGTGTTGTCTCTCGACTTTCCACACCCCTTCTGCTTCTCTTATATGAAATCTCGTAAGACCTTTTGCTTTTATTCTTCATGTTTATTCATATTTGTAGATAATATTTATGATGATGGATATTGGTAGTGAGGAAGTGAGGGGGGATTAGTTAACTCTAAACCAAAAAGGGCAGGATCGCATGAAGAGAATGCTCACGTGTATAGGATATGATGAAGAGTAAGATGAAACCGTTACTCGTTTACAGTTCTTACAATTTTTTTCCGATAAGCTTAATTAGTCAACTTATTACAATTTCTAGCAGATGGCTTTTGTGTAATTTGCTTTTCTCGGGATTGACAGAAAAAGGACAGCAGAACCTTTCCATACTATACTCTATTGTTTGGCTAAACTTGTTCAAGTTTAGAAAATTCATTTCGATTAAATGCTGAACAACTTTTCCTCTAACTAATTTCGCTGGTATAGATGTTCCAGTAAAATGAACATTAAAAGCTTGTGTCAGACAGTTGCGAGTATACCGCCTGTTACTTGGCAATGTGAGAGAATATTCCTCAATGGAGAGAAAGGATGGCGAGAGAGGAAGGAAACAAGAGAGCATTGAAGAGAATATGCATAAATGAGCCAGTTATGAATCTCGGCAAAGAAAGCTCTGCGATAATACGAGCGCTTATAGATAGAACCAAAACACTTATTCCTCAGAACATGATCTTTGCCAATGACCAGATGAGATCAAATTCTCGCGCACTTTGTTAATTGGATTCCAAATTCGTTAAGTCTCAGTGTTAATCTGGACGAGATTCAGAGAATTTCCTTCGAATGGTTGTGTAAAGCTCGAGGAACTTCATGAAAGTATTCTCTTCATGAGCATGACATCAGTTTGCCAGTTGAACATTTACATGAAAATTCTTGTGCAACAGGCAGATGACATATCGAAATGTAATTAACTCTCTTGAAGCGTATATAGCTGTAGTTGGAGAGAAGGAAGTGGACCAGACCAGTAACAGACAGAATCCGACTTGTCTGTTGTCAGCTGTCAACCAATCGGTAGCCGACGGCAGGATAGAAGATATGGGGAGAATGTTACTGCTGTCGCTCGTTCAATCGAGAAGTTGAGAAGGAAAATAGAGCAGAGACAACTTCTTGTGTTCGGAACAAACAGGCAACTGTAGTTTTACATCAGAGAGCTTACACTAAAAAGAGTTCGTGGTTTTTGATTTGAATTTCAGACTGTTTTGCGAAATGTTCAATGAGATGATTGCTTTCGCAATTGTGAGCGAAGCTGAGGCTGTCACTTTTTCACATGTTCTTTTCATACATACAGTCACCGTGGAAACGAATCTTATCGACTAATGGCAGAGCCAATGCCCTCTAACTTGCTTTTCCCATGACCAATTTCATTTATTTCTCACTTTCAGCTGTGCTTGTCTTCATCGATTCGTGGGCCAAAATTATGAGAAAATTGAATAACTTGAGCTTCCCAAACTTTGCGACAAACGGTATGGGCAGACGTTCCAATTCTGCTTAATAGGCTTCCCTCTTAAGCCCATTGAAGCTGGCTTCTTGAGAAGGAGTCGGGTAGACCGAAGAAAGGCTTAAGAAGTCGGAGAATAGCTGTAGAAGAGGCTTGAAGAGCTGTTTAGACACATAGAGGTGATTATTGCATGGTTTCTAATTACGATTTCGAGACACCCGAAGCTTAGACGACCTAACCGTTTTCGTGTTGCCGGAAACACAGCGCAAATGGAGAGTTAGCAGACAGAGATCAAATTGGTTGTGGGGTGGTAGAGAGGGGGGTGAGGGACATATGGCTGGCAGCTGGCTTACAACATCGATGCTACAGCTACAGCTTACCCTCAATTTCTTCTCAAATATGCTCCCGAAGTATATTAAGTTAGAAGTGAGAGTAGTTATGATACATTATGAAAAAATAGGATGCATGTTTTCATTGTAAATAAACTGTAGGATGGCTTTGATTTTGACAAGTAAGAAATGAAACTCGCTGTTCTGCCAACAGAGAATGAAACAGACTAACTCAGTACATTTTCTCGCTTTTCACCTTCGAATTTTGTTTGTAACTCAATACAATACATCCGATTACAGTATCTGTTTTGAATTGGATTTAAATTTGTACAGAAAACTAAATGGTGGGCGATTAAGCCCAGAGATGCATGGAGTGTATGACAGAGCTTTTAAAAGGGAAATGAAAATAAAATAGAAGGAAGAGAGTGACAAACAGTCAGACAGCATGCGGAAAAAGTGAGAGAGATGAATATATATGTAAAAAGAGGAGAAGTATGGAGGGAGAGAGGATGGAAAGTATGCTATACAGAGAGAATAGATGAAGAAGCATTTGTGTGCCATCTGTCTTTCGTGCATAGGGTTACTCTATACTTGTGGCATATAAGCAAGACTCTGATGGTCGTATTGAAGCCGGTAAGGTAAAACATTAGTTTAGTGACAGACCCGAAATAGGTTATGATATGAATATATTGGAACGAAATCTATCACGCACCATTTACATGTATAACTAATGACATGAAAGTAAACGAGAACAGGTGTAGAAATGGATTTTAAGGGAATACGGTAGATTGTTTTTTTTAGTTATGAGAGTTTTAATGGAAAAAAGTTGTTTATAAGATTTAATTTACCTTATCCGTGTGAAACATTTGCTGATGTTGTTGAAGTAGCTTCACGGTGTTGAAAGTTTTTGGGCATTGATTACAGGTAACAGGATCAGACAACATCTCCTGAATTGAAGCTACGTCGACCATTCGGCCTTGGAACTGTTTAACACGACGACTTATAGCCGACGTTATTCAGCTGTTTTCAAGACTAGCCGGACCGTAGAAGTTGTCTTCTTCGACCTGAAAAAATTCACAGTAGAAGTTGTAAAGTCGGGAAAATTCAAAAGACTATATAAAAGAACAGAAACATTACAAAACTTGGACTTATTTTGCATACTCACAGAGGGAATAATGACGGAAAGGTGAGATAAATTACCAAAAAATGTAGAGAAATAACGAGAGGAAAAGAAAAAGAAAGTAAATTCGAGGAAAAGAACAGCACACGCGCTACATAACAGGCAATTCCCTCCGGACGTCGTTGACAGAAAATCGAAGTGAAGCTCGAAGCTGGCAATATGCAGCAGAGTACAAACTGTATATAGGATTAGCTCTCACTTCTCTGTCTTTTCTCACCTTCTCTATGCTGTCCTTTCACTCTTTCTCTCTTCTTTCACTCGTTATTCTGATTATCATTTCTTTTTTTCTTTTTTTCTCTCTTTGTATCATTTAATATTTCTTCTAATAGTTTTAATATGCGGAAATGGTTTCAGAAAGATTTGATTCTAGGCCTTGAAATAAATGTAAAGTACATGAGATCAAAAATCGGCTGTGACGAAAAGAAATAAACCGTATAGCGAAAATTATTCATTCTTAAAATAATCAGAGTAAATGTTATGGAAGTAAAAAGAAAAAAACCGTTCCTTTCGAACAATCAAAAATTAATAAGATACTTGTGGTCGAAGGTTGTTGATGAAGTTAAAACTAAAGATATTATTGTAAAGATACTGAAGGGTCGTCCCAACCTGACGACGACACACCGAAACAGTTGGTGGGCTCTGTTTTGTGGGGGCCGGTTTGAGTCGGAAGGAGATGGAAGAGAGCTTAGGCAGAATGCAAAATCAAGAGAGATAATAAGATGAGATAAAGTAGAAGATGGTTGGGCGAATGGTTGACTAGAACAGTTGTCTTGGATAGTGACGGCTTGAAGTCAGACGCAGCCTAGGCAGTCTTCGGATGGGGAGAACGATGAACGTACAGAATAAATTGCAAATGAGTCTTGTGATAGCGTCAGGAAATCAGTTAAGACTATTAAATTCAAAAATAGCAAATTTGAGAGCGAAACATGTATATGATATTTCATAGGTAGTACAGGTAGTAATGACTTAACCTTCATAATGGTCGAAATGATTTATACACAACAAGGCTTTACCCTACACTGAGTATATTTTAATCAATAGTTGAAAATTAATGAATATTATTACATAGGATGAATATACAGTACATTTTTTCTTTAATGACATTGAAATATAGAGAGATTGAGATTTCATCTCTGCTCCCCAGTAACACTGAATGCAGTATGTATGAACGAAAGGGTAATCTGGTCGGTGTTGCCTGGACCAAAAGCTGAGAGTCTGCCCTCAGACCATGACAGACCAGCAGGCAGATGGAAAGAAATGGGAAAGGAAAGAAACGGAGGCTGGGTATAAGGCTGGGTTGACTAGCCAGGAAGCGAAGCGGCAGCGCGGCGACGACCGCAGGATCGTCTACCGCCCCCTCGGCCTCTTCCTCTCCATTCTCCTGCTCTGGCTGCACCCATCCCACAAGCTGCACAGGCCCCAGTCAGACTCCTATCCTGCTTCACTGCCATCTCTCTGTGTCTCTCTATTCATAATAATGTTTTGGCATGAAAGCAGACACACAGAAGGGCGGAGCTTGATCTCACCACAAGAACAACATACGGCACTAGAGAAAGGGGGCGTGGTTCAGTTCCCTTGCCTTCAGGGCTACTACAGCTTCTGTTTTCTGTCTAATTCTCTCTACAACAGTTATATACTCTTTCTCTCCACGGCTTTTAGTAGTTGTACTCTCTGTGGAAGTCATGTTATATCGCACCGTCTAGATTGAAAGGCAGGGCTGACGACGATCTGTCCATCTTGCGCCATGAAAGAACTGATGGACTAACTGGACGGGCTTACCAAGAAGTGAGTTAGTAATGGCACTGATTGTGCCCCGCGGCGATAGAAGGCGACGTTCCATCGCTAAAGGGACCAAAAGCCGGTCAATCGGCACGATGGTTAGGCTTCAGCACAATGCGGAAAAGATTGTCTTTTTTGGCAACGACGATTACATTCATCCAGACAGCGAGCAAATGGGAATTTTGTGACAAAGCAATTTGTTGTAACATTTGGGAAGAGCATAAGCTTTTTTCATTCATAACTGTAAAGAGAAAAAGCTTTATTCAGAGTTTGAATATAAAAAAAATAAACTAAATGATTCCACAACAATATATGAAAATTATATAGTGTAGTTAGATAAATGTAAATGATATAAGAAAATTATAATAAAATATAATCTAATGTATGTATTCAGAAGCAATACAAATCAAATGCGGAATTAAACTGCAGTCAGCAATGAATTAAAAGACCAAGTTTGTAATAAAAACGAACAAAACTCTGATTAGTTTTGTAGTTTTGAGTACTAAAACATTAGTATTTAGCTTGTACAGCTTAAAGCGCGATCTTAGAGAAACTCCACTACAATTTCTACTTATGGAAATACGATTCGACGGTCAGTGAACATGCTGAACTACAACTTTTTATTTTATTGTTCGAACAAGAAATTAGGAAAAGTCTTTTTGAGAGTTTCAAAATGTTTTACTATTTTTACTATCTATTTTGTGTTTGATTAGTTTGTAAAATTCTTTCTTCATGAAGGACTGCATTTCAAAGCAAATGAGTGTTAGACTAACACACCAGGTAATGCTATAATACATAGAAATATTCAATAAAATATAACACTTTGTTATGAAAATGTCGAAAAAAGTCAAAGAATCGAGTAATCATCGACATAGAACAGCTGATGAAGTTGAAGATTACAGTTCAACGACGAGTATAGAAAAAGGTACGGATGGTTTTTTTTTGAAAAGAATATGAAAGTTGTAAAAAACTGAGGGCTATAGTCTCTAGAGCTCATTATGATTGTCGTTTTTTGGTTTTCAGACGACAGAAACATGTGTGGTTGGATAGACAAATGGCACAAACCATTATATTTTCAACTACCATTATACTTTCTTCAGCATCTGCTCAGCTTACCAAAAGAGATATATATATATATATATATATATATGTAGAGAGAGAGAGAGAGAGAGAGAGAGAGAGAGAGAGAGAGAGAG